CATGGAAGTAGCTGGTATACCTTGGCATGTGCTGGAACCTGCTGGAAGGATTGGATGGTCAGGTGACCTGCTGTGCATGGCTGTGCATGACCTCATATGACCTCATCCTTGGTCATATGACCTGATCACCTGACTAGGCTGAGTAATCAAGATGTTCTAGCAGGTTCCACCACAGAGGTATAAATATAAGGCCTACTCTGCCTGGGGACTGTCTCTTCAGACTTGGTCTCTTAGGATCATCCACAGGTACCTATACTGTAGATAGGTCTTAGTCATCAGGTCTACTCCACTTCCTTGTTGCCTGCTTAGACTCTTGGCACTCTTAGGTGAGCAGACTTAGTCAACCTGTGTTGCCCTAACACACATACTGTAATATAACTAATTGAAAATGAAACACAACTTATAAATTATTGTTAGAACACACTTATAAGATAACACAAATTTGAGACCAGACCCTAGCACCTCTTAAACTGTTACTACCACCTTCCTTAATTAAAAGGTCCCTGGTTGCTCAAGGCAGGCCTTGGAGTCATATCAGGGATTTGCCCTCAGGCAGTCATCATACACTAGGTTTTTAGGTGGCTACAAAGATGCTGTGTAGACCTGTTTAGGCTATCTGCCTAGCCCTCAAAAGGATGCATACACTCCATGCTTCTCAGGATCCTATATATCCACTTTTGTGGGCTACTTGCTTTATTGTGTAGCTTCACTACACAATTTGCCCCAGACCTGTAATATTATGCTATGGACTACATAACTACAGATCATGTTAATATCCATCATACAGATCTGTTGGGGCAATCTGTTTTCCATTCCTGTAGCATCAGAATACTCCCCAACATTACAGTCTCATGAAAAAAAAGAGAGATTTAATTCCTGCTTATCAGGGCATTCCAATGCCTGCTTCTCCCCCCATCTGGCTATCTTGTTTAGTAAAATCCTCCCTTTGCCCTTAGACATGGTGGAGTGATCTTAAATTGCTAAATGGGGGATAATAGTGCTCCTGAACTTGCATTAGTCATGACCTCCTAAATCACAGAGTGTACTCACCCATTTCAGCTCTATCCTACAAGTGGGTTCTGCCCTTTGCTCATCTTCCATTAAGGTTGTGTTTCCTTGACCTCTATTTGAGTGTGCACCAGAGCTTAAGAGTTCCTGTGATGAGCTAATGAGCAAGAGGCTTGCAGACATCTACCAACTCTTCCAGAAGCACAAAGAGCTTAAGGTCAGCAACAACATGTACCTGTGCCATGGCAGATGGGCATCAGCCAGGCAAAATAGAGGCATATATGCATTTCCCTTTTGTGAAACCCTGTGAGGATAACACAATCCTAGTGAAGCAGCAATTGTAAATCTGAATAGGCAAGACCAAGAGTGCACATGCAAGCAGAGCAAATGCAAGTATGAATAGGGTGAGTAACCTCAAACCCAATCAAGTAGGCAGTATGTGAATGACTGAACATTGCATTTACCAATATGCAAGCAAGTACAAGTCAAGCTAGGTGCAATCCATGTAAATCACAATGTGAATAAAGCTTCAGATTGATAACTGGGATTATGGGGGAATCCTCAGAGATCAGATCTGAGGATGTATATAGGTCTACCCTACCCTATATATACTACCAAGGGAAGGAAGCAAAGGAGGCAAGCCACATGTGGCTATGCTTGTACAGTACTTACATGTGAGGGCAACACAATCCAGCAAGGCTGACAATTAAGAACTCTGAACAGAGATAAGAAGAGATCAAAAGGAGATTTGGGAGAATCAACAGATAGTCCAGAATGTCCAGGGGGGGGGGGGGGGGGGGGTTTTGGGGTTTAGTGAGGATCAAAGCAGAGGTTTTGAAGTCAGAAAAATTCCAGACAGTTAAGCAGAGGCCAAAGAGTTGAAAAGTATCTGAGAGCAACAGAAAGCTATCAAAGCTATAGAAACTGATGACAAGAAATGCTCAATTATGCAATTTCTTGAAGAGATCAGATTTAAAGGGAAGTGGCAATGGGCAGAGGCAGGATTAATACTAGAGGGGTGGAAGTAATGTGGAAGCAAAGAAAGTGGCTTGGGAACTGTACAGCTACCAATTGTTCTTTCAGGAGTCTTTGGCATGCAGATTGAGGGTGGTTGGGTGTTTTGAGTAGGGATCAGTGAGTCAGAAGGTTTTGGAGGGTTTGGGGGTTCAAAATATGTGCCTCAGTTGAACTGGGATTGAATGTGAGTTGACAGTGGATTGAAATTGGGTGTCCCCTGACAGAGGGTGGTTGGGTGTTTCAAGTAGGGATCAGTGAGTCAGAAGGTTTCAGAGGGTTTGGGGGTTTGAGATATGTGCCTTGGTTGAACTGGGATTGAATGTGAGTTGACAGTGGGTTGAAATTGGGTGCCCCCTGACATTACAGCACACCACATGCTACCCACATGCACTATTTGCAGTGCATGTCCATCCATGCAAGTTGCCAAATATGGAAGTAGGTTCCAATGGCTTCATAGCCCCATTGTCAGGTGCATTTCTGGGGTCAGATCAAGGGTGCACCCAGTATTGAGTGATCTGTGAGGCAATTTGCATCTGTTTGCAGGATAAGAATTGCACATCCCCTGACAGCAACACTATATGCAGCAAGGTTGCCTGGTGGAACCTAAACAATTCCCCCCAGCCCTCAGAACACAATGATAGGCAAGATACCCCCGGGGTCATCCGAGGAACTTACCTTGCCTGTGCCTGATGTTGACCCTAACTGACTTAGATAATCTAAACGCGCTGAAACGTCTTCAGGAGGCGCAGACTCGATTTTCTGGGAAATTTCATTCTTCTTCCAAGGCACTCAACGGGAGGCACATTCGGTACCATCTCGATCAGGGCGAGGTGGGGTCAAGGCCTGCTTCATCGATTTTTTCTCTGGCCTGAAACCCCGAGACATCGGGAGCTTGAACTTTCGTCCAGATGAGATTCATGCCACTATCTTCCTTCGCTCCTCCAGGATTTTTCATCTGGACTACCTTGCTTCAGAGCAAAACTTGGGTACTGGCGTCTGTTTCATACTCTCTACGCGCATCCCTTTTTTGGCTTTTCAGCGGCTGCATATCTGCATCGAGATTAGAAGATGGCCGTGGTCCAGGTCAGGTCCGATCATTGTCCTTGTCATTGGTCATTGGTCATGATGTCATGATCAGGTCAATCACTCGTTATTTGATTCATTCAGAACCGGTCCAGGTCGGTTAAAAACGGTCCGGGTACAGCGTTCTCATATCATGTCTCCTCCAGGACAGTCTTGGCATCTCGTGCCTGAGAGTCTTGCTCCCCGATCGCCGCATCAAGCTGCTTGAATCAGAAATTTCGGAGCTCTCCTCGCTACATACATGGGATTTGTTGACAATAGACATCTGTGATAAACTGCAGGGCTTCGAAGCGAGTGGAACCAAGTCGATTTCGAGTCCGTGCATCTCTCTCGCGGTACGGACGTGAAGGTTTTCCGCTTCATTGTTGCTCAAGTGTTTCGAAGGTTCATCAACTCCCATATATGTCACTATGGAGCTGCTGGACTTTGCGCGGTAATCAATGGGTGCAATACATTCACTATCATGACCACCTTGATGTGACCAGCCATGGCCGGTTCTACGCGGCCATCATCTCCCAGGTTGCTCCGGTCATGGCCATGTAACTTGACTGTGACCGAGCCGGATGACCGAGGTCTTCATGGTCCTATCATGACCGCGAGCCATCCTTAATTGAGATGCGCCTCAGCAAATGTCAGCTTGCTGATGTTGAAGATGTATTACTGCCCATAAGTGGTATTTCTGTCCTGCGAGTTGTCTATCCCCCGGTAAGCCTCAGACAGGGGCATACATTGTCTCTCGGGGTTCATTCATCTGCGATGATCGCCCCAGAGGCATGGCGTCCTGTAGGAAATCACTTTCTGATTGCCTTTCTGGGATCGCTTAGGCATCGCCGGCTCCTTTCTATGGCTAGGTGGTGGCTCGATGCACTTCGCCGGATGTCTGTATAGACAACTGTTGAGTGAAGAGGCAGCTCAGATGCATATATAAACCTGCCTGAACAGCACCAGCTCTCATCCAACAAGTCCCCTCTTGTTACCAAGATCTGCAGCGCCCAACGATATCAACCTCGACGATCCATCATGCATTTCCTTCGCACCCTGCTCCCCTTCATGGCCGCATCTTTCGCCGTCGCTGGTGTCATTCCCTTGGACCATGCCAGCCTCGTAGCTAAGGACCTTGCGGGGCGCCAGGGAATCGATGCCCCGACGGTCGTTGCAATCATCCAGGCGCTCGCGGCCCAGGTGAGCAGTCTCGAAGAGACGATCGAGACGGCTTCAGGCCTCAGCACCTCCGCCCAGGTGTCGGCTCTCTCTCAGGTGACTCTCTTCCCACGCGCATACGTATGTCACTTGACCACATTGAAAGAACATTACCTCTTCTCTCAATACAATAATCACCGAGATAAACCAGTCCGTCGGGGCGTCGACCGGTGTCGTCTTCAGCGACCCAACATCCTGCCAGGAGATCGGTGACGCATTGAACCAGGTAAAGACTTTCCTCTTCTGAGGATCGTACACTGAACGCAGGGAAATAGTTCGCAACCGTGCTCGACAACACGTTCCACGTACTCATCTCCGAGGCTCCCGTATTCTTGAACTTCAACAGCGCCGCCCCGATCGCACAAGAGTTGGGAGTGATCCAGCCAGAGATCGATGTGAGTACCCTCTTCGCCTTCGACGTGACGTCACCTCATAGCTCGCTAGACATTGGCAAACGTGATAATCCAGGCGCTTCCCTGCCAGACCCAAGCTGTCAAGCAAGGCCAGGCCTTGCTCGACAACGACTTTAGCAGCGCGATTGCCGCGCTCGCTTAGAACTGCCTCCTTGATCTATGCTTGCCCGAGGAGACCGCCGATGGAGGTGATGCGGTCTGAGGCACGGGCGTATAGTATGAGATTAGCCTGTTGTGCTGTTTCCCCCATGAACTCTGTTTCTTTCGTCCTATGCTTTGCTGAGCTCAATTGAATCAAATTACAGCGCGTGTCCATCGAGACCGCTGCTGTACATGCGTTTTCCATATACTTGTGTAACGCCAGCTGAAGCCCCGTCGTCAGAAACACGGCTCCGATTCGCCGAAAGTCATGATCGTACCATGGTTGCATTGATGTACATTGTCACGTGTTTCCACATCACTCTATCCCCATATATATCTTACTTCCCCCGCCGCCTTCCTCAGCCTGTTCATCACCGCCAACCCTTCTCTGTCCTCCTCCACCCCTTCTACAAGGATGATATCCACTCCCTCCGCATCGAGCGTTAACAGGCCATCAAACAGCCTATGCGCAGCCTCAGAAGGCTCGTTCCGGTTGCCAAGGGAGTACCGGTGCGTGTGGTAGTGCGTCGTTATGCACGCCAACGTGATCGGCGAGTTGGAGAAAGCGAGCACGCCAACTCTGAAATCTTCCTGCTGGGGCGACAGCTCATCGTGCAGCTCATCGAGGATATCGTGTATCGATTCTGCCTTCTTCCCTTCCGGCGGCGTGGTCCGAAGCAGGAGCACGACAGGGGTGGTGGGCGAATAGTGTCGGTACTTCATCCCCGGCGTCGTGGGCACATGCTCGATCTCCGGATCTTCATAATCCCGTTTGTGAACGAGGACCTTCGTTCCGGGGCCCAGGACTCGCTGGAGCTCCTCGACAGTCAGTCCACCTGGACGGAGGACTTTGATCACTCCTGGTGAAGAGAGCCCGTCCACGACAGTAGACTCGACACCGACGTCGCACGCGCCTCCGTCCAGTATGAGCGGGATCTTGCCCCCAAGGTCTGTGAGGACGTGCTGCGCTCGCGTGGGCGAGGGGCGGCCAGAGGCGTTCGCTGATGGTGCTGCTAGTGGAGTGTGGGAGAGGGAAATGACTGCCCGGGCGATGGGGTGCGAGGGCATCCGGATCGCTACCGTTGGCTGATTCGCTGTGCAGATATCGGGGATCTTGGATGATTTTGGGAAGAGAAGGGTGAGCGGGCCCGGCCAGAATGCGCTGATCAGGTTGTCGTAGGTTTGGGGGATCTTGTATGACGCTGGGAGGAGAGAGTACAGCATCGGTAATGATGAGACGTGTACGATCAGCGGGTTGTCAGCTGGCCGGCCTTTAGCGCTGAATATTCGTGCCACGGACTGAGAGTGCAACGCGTTCGCTGCCAATCCATAGACGGTCTCTGTTGGGAGTGCGATAGGAAGCTGCCTGTCAAGCAGGTCGTGCGTTGCTTCCTGCAGAGCGGCCATAGTTGTCGCGGAGCTGACCTTCGGAGGCGCATCCGAATCTATCCCTGGAAAGCAGATAGAATCACCATCACATTCTAGCACGTTGGTCTCCATGGTTGTTGCGTTGATGCAAGTCATGCTGAGCGACCTTGGAGCCGGTCGGGCTGACCTCAGGCGAGAAAATAGTGATGAAGCAAAGCGCGTCAGGATGAGAGAGCAGCCGGATAATGTCTTGTGCCAGCTGGCGGTGGTACGTTGACAGAGGACACGTGGACGCAGTAATTCTTTCAACCTTGTGCAGGAAAGAAGTCAGACCAAACTTCCAGCAGGAGTTAGAGTACAGGGTAAGGAATGAATTCGCGAAAGAGGTATCTAGAATAGTCGGGAATGCGGCAGGTGACTTTATTTTCCGTCGTCAAAATTTGGATGCTGCGCCACTAAGCAACTTAGGCGCCCACATCAATGCTCCGGACCCTCATCCATTGCAGGCACTTACCCACTGGGCAGCGTAGCGCCCGTGCTGTCGCCTTACCGTTCTATCTGCATAGACGGTGGACAAGCAATGTCCCTCCGACTTCATCGGCAGGACCGGTGATATACACCGCACCGCTCCTGCGGCCTTTCCGATTGCTCAAGCTCTTCTCCCTCACCTCCCTCGCACTCAGCACATCTCTGTCTCCACTCATCCTCATCATACCCGCTCCACTCCCAACAGTAGCGCGCATCGCCCTCGCTGGAACTGCAGTCTCCGCTTCGGGATTCTCGACCGCGCTCATTGCTTGGGGAAGCAGGAGCCACGTGAACGTCATCCGAAGACACGGTGATGCGGGAATGGAACTGGAGAGCGCGGATTGGTTGTTGAGGAGGATCACGACCACGGTGTGGGACACGAGTGTTTTCACTGTGAGCGGGAGACCATTTGCTACCTGGGAGCTCCCGGATGAGGTGATGCCGCGCCCAGGGAGAGAGGTGAAAGAGGGCGAGAGCCAGGTGCTGGCTAAAACGGAGGATTGGAAGGGCAGGTTGCGCGGGCAGTGGATTGTTGAATATCAGAAGAACTCAACAGGGAAGATGGTGGGGAAGTGTAGAGGTCAGGGGAGTATGATCCGGTGCGTGATGTCCCTCCTTCGATCTTCAGTTGACTGAAAGTCTATCAGACATTTCAACGTCGCAGACCATCTCATTGACCAGAGCAGCACCTCAAAATGAACAACTCTGCTACAGCACCACACTGTTGTAATGTCTTCTATTTAACAACATACACAAGGCCTACGATACATCCTTCTGTTAATGCAGTTAGAGAACCAAAATACGCGGTCGTGTCCGTGCGAAGATGCGCGATGCAGGCATGTTATGGAGAAATGAGTGATAATGCGGTGTGTTGAAGGAAAACGTCAAATGAGATAAACAATAAACATCTATGATACCCGAGGCTCGAGGTGGTATTCACGTTTAGAGCAGGCCGGCCTTGCGCAGCAAGGTTTCGTAATGTTCGTTTTGTAGCTTGGTCTCCTCAAGTTCCCGTTGCAGTTTACTGCAAACATGTCAGTTCGAGGCAACTTGTCTCGATCGCAAGACTCACGTGTTTTGCATTGTAAGCTGATTACGCGAGTCCTTGGCTTTCTGCAAATCTTTCGTTATGGCTTGCCATGCTTCAGTTGCAGGCAGAGAAACGTCGTTGAACATTCCATCAAGTTCCTCGTTGAATGCCTACATCAGGTCAGCAGGGAGGTCATGAACCAATGAGATAGATACTCACGTCGTACATGATTTCCTTTTCAGTGGTGGCATCGTCAAGGAACTTCTTGAGCACGGCACATTGTTTCTTGAGATGCTCAATCTCAGCGTTGACCTTGTCAACTTCAGTAGACTTTCCGCCCGCGTCAGCAAGAACAATCTTGAGCTTGCTGTGCAAGTCTTCCTGCTGAGATACCGCTTTCTTCAGGCCGGCATCGGTCTGAATCAACAGACTTTCGACGTTCTTGGACCAGCCTTCAATGAAGTTGATATCGACAGTTGGCTTGCAGCTCAGCTCGGGTGCTTTTACAGGAGTGTCGAAAGCCGCTGCACGCGCCGAGACACCACGTCCACCCTGCTCAAGGAGCAGTCGCATTTCAGCCATGCGCTCTTCAGTAAAGCGGTTCTGAACCACAGATGATCAGAGCAGTTCTTTGTCAGAGACTGGAAAACGTACCGAGATGTGATTTGTTTTGGGTGAACGTGGGAGCCCGGTGTCCCTCAAGGCGTTGATAGGATCTTTGGACATGACCTGCTTGGCAAGATTGCTCTTGAATGCCTCGACCTCAAGTTTGATCTTTTTCAGGGCCCGCCGCGAGGAGTTCATCTACCCAAGAGTGAGTTGATGGTTTTGGAAGAGCCATGACAAGACTTACATCCTCGCGGGTTGTTTCGGCAATGACCAGCAGTTTGTTGGCCTCCAGCACAACATCTCCTTTGTGATGTCTGAGCTTCGAGCCACGTCGAGGAGTACGCCCTTGTTGGGAGCCATGGCGAGTAGCACCAGTCTTGTTCGAAGACTCTACGGAGTGCTTGCGTTGAGGTAACGTACTTCTTGGTGGCGAGTCGAGTGAATGCACCACTTGTCGAGGGTTTGCTTTCGTCGGGGATCCAGGATCTTCTCTTACGAGGGAGGGCGAAGCATTCTTTACAGAAGATTTCTTGACAATTGAGAGCGGTTCCACTCGAGGTGTGTTGACATCAGTCGGTGCCAAGATCGGCCGAGGTGGCGTAGCGACTGCAGTGCCATCGTCGCTCTGCGTCAGCTTCGGCGGCTGAATAGTCGCGGCAGTCATATCCGCTAGCATATCCTCAAGATCCCCTGGCTGCACATTCGGTACAGGTTCGACAGGAATATTCTCCATCTCCAGATCTTCCGTAGGCAACGGGGCTGTGCTGGGGTGTGGCGAGTTGATAGGCGTTCTGGGACCACTAGGTCTACTCAACCGCGGACCGCGAGGCTGTGGTGTGATTGGTCGGTTTGTGGCTTGAGTGGGCGTCGCTGACCGAGGCCGGGAATCATTGGTGGACGATGACCTGATTGAAACCTCCCTGTTCCCTGGCGCGGGGTATGGAATTCTGGGGATTTCCACATGTTCTAAGAAGAATTCCGGTCAGTTTTTGTTTGAGTGCGCAATTGTTTGAGTGACATACGCCACGACTCCTCACTAATGGTCGACGGAAGGGAGATCGGTTGCCGTGGTGCAGTGACAGATTCCTGCTTCTGACTGTTATTTCGGGCAAGTTCCAAACGCATGCTCAAGTCCCATTCAGAGTCGTGTGGCTTCTCTGCTTCATGTGGCGGGTGAGGGTCCTCATCAGGTTCCTCCAGCTGCACTGCCTTACGCTTTACTGGCGACCGCGCCTCAGGGGAACTGATTTGGGAGATTGGGCGCTTGATCGTGGACTTGCGCCTCGAAGGTGAGCTAGAAGAGAAAGAATCGTCGTCCACTATGGAAGTCTGGGCCGTGGAAGTAGAACGCGATGACGAAAATTTGAAACTGCCCGTCCCTGTCGTCGTCGTCGTCGTTGTCGTGGTAGCGGTGAAAGTAGACACGCGACTCGCACTGGACTTTGTCCGCTTGTGGTGGCCGTTGATCGTGCCGAATACGTCGCCCATAACGGAACCAGGTCGAGAATTGAACAGGTTTTCTAGAACGAACATTCCGGTCCGGGATCGGGCAGTACCTCCATTCAAATGCGGTGTGTGAGGAGTCGAGTCGGTGCCAGTATGGAAGTGGAACAGGCGGTACTGTTGAACTAATTTATGCTGTCGTCAGCGGAGCTAAGAGGATCAGGGGGAAATTGCCTACTTGTGTTAATCACCCGGGCGGGGATCTCCGCCGTTTCGATTATATCCTCTTCTATGGGCTCCGCAGGATCACGCGTGGTTACTCGGATACGTGCAAGATCACCTTCCATGGGTTGAACACGAACGATCACGTAAGGTCCGCCATCGACCCCAAAAGGCAAGTCGTCTGCTTGCGTCTCTCTAGGATCAACATGCAGGACGATTTTGCCTTTCTTTGGCTCTCCCAGGTACGCAGTGCGGTGATACACGTTGAAGTATGCCTTGGCAAATGTGGTCTTGCCCCGAACGGTCTCGATTTCTCGCTCTGGCATATAGCGGACGGTTGAACGACCCTGGCGCGTACGATATTCTGCCTGACAAGTCCACAGGCTATTCAAGAACCGCTGCTTTCTTTCTTGCGTTGTAATTGGGTCATACCCAACCGGAGCAGGAGGGACCACGACGACATATGAGCGGAAGGGACGACCTGCCCAGCGATCTGTCTGATCATGGGGAGGTTTCTCCAAGAACATATGAACATCTGTCACCAGGTTAGCAAATCATGTTGATATCAACGTTCTTTTTACTCACTTGCTCCCCCGGGGTCTGTTGCGACAACGTCCAGGATGTCCAACACTCCCCGGCAGCTCATCTGGGGCTTTGCCTTGCTCTTGCTCGCAAGCGGCATTTGAGTCGCCTTCTCGATGTCATCGAGTCCAGCCAGAGACCGTCCAGGTGTCGAAGGCAGTCGTTTGACGATCATTAACGTGTCATCGAATAGGAACAGCGTACAGGGCAGATTCCCGGCTGCTGATGAGGACGATGACTGGTAACCAGATGACGGCGACTCAGTTACCAGATCCTCGACGTCGATGCAGTCGATGAAACGACGATTGCTGCTGATGAGGCCAGGCTGCGACTGGTGAGTAGGAACCGCTGGACAGGGGTTTGAGCACGTACTGGGAACCCCTCGATAGCACGCTCGAGCCGATACATGATCGCCGCCTTCTTGGTGGGGTCATCTGCCTCACATAGCGCAACCTTATTCGCAAAGTCGCAAGCTTCACTCAGCTTAGGTCGCTGAACATCGGTAGGATCCATTTTTTCCAACATCGCTGATCTCGGGTAAGCAGCTGAAAACAGTGTGAACGGCGTGACGTACTTCGGAACATCATCGTGTATCTGGGAATGCGCTGCACTGGGTCCATCAACAGTTCTCGGAGTCCGACTCGGTTGCGAGAATCGGAGGCGCTATACTTGATCGTCTATCACGCCGTCAGGAACCCTCTCTTGGAGTGCTGAGAAGAACCGTACCTCGATGTGATGCGCAAACGCCTTATTCTTGACCATCAGCGACTCGAATATCTTCTGGGCCTCTTCCCGCTTGGCGTAATACTGCTTGTAGCAATCGAAAGTTTTCAGCTCGCGAAACTACCTCAAGATGCACATGAGTGGGATGCGATTGGTTGGTATGTTTAGACGCACGTGTTTCAGAGCAATATCGCCAGTGTGCTCCGCAGCGATGTAGCCATTCTGGAAAACCATGGTCTCCAGGTCGCACAGGAACGACTCATTCGCGAGCAGGAGGGCATCGACATTTCCGAACAACGTGTTGGCTTCATACATGGGGATGATGGCAGTCTCGTTACGCTTGGCAAACGCGCGGAGTTGGTCAGCATAGTCCTGCGTTCAAGAGTCAGTCACTCCTGAGGGACAGAGAGACCAGACCTGCCTTCTTGAGGATGCGCAATCGGGTGACGTACGACCGTTCAGTGGTGATAAGTTCCTTGAGTGTATCTTGTAAGGCGGTTCCATTGGTCATCGAGCGCCTGCGGGCAGGTGGTCCCTGAGCCTATCGAATCCCATCAGCGATGTGTAGGGTAGCATTTTACGTAGGACTCACCATCACCGCCAGATTCATGGATGATGCTGCTGGGGCACTGCTAGATCGGGAGACGATGAACGAGACTGATCCTTGGTTTGATGCGAGTGGTTCGCCTAGGGATGCGAGGAGGTTCTCCACCCTCTCCATTTCGGGGCTCATCTCTGCTCCAACATCAGCCCTGCATCTAACACTCCGACAGTGAGAGCTACCAGTCCCAAGCAACCGCGCTTTCTCCGAACTCTCAACCACAACGCTGCAGAAGAACGCCCTCCTCATCGTCTTCGATCCTCCTGGGACTGCCAACGAATCGCTTGCATTGAGCGGGATCTTGCGGGGAGAGTATGACATGTTCTCCGTCGTGTTTGTAGCTTGTTCGTCTGGCGCCCTGAGGGGAGATAAAAAAAGAGAAAGAGAAAGGGAGACGAAAGGTGTGGACTGTTGTGAGTGTATCGGATAAAGCGTAGGGGCGGCCGTGCTCCGTGTCTCTGACGCGCTCAACGGATGCAAGTTCAATTGAAAGCGTCGTTGCAAATATCAGTCACGTGTTTGCTTACATCACGTGAACTCTTACACCAGCTTCTTGGCGGAAGCGGACCGGTCTATTTTAGGGTTGCACCAACAGGGCTTCGTCTGTTGCATTCTGTTGCGGATGGTGTCGCATGGACATCTGTGGGATTCTGGTCGACTCTGCTCGATGCGTCCGCAACCTCGGTTGCACCGGACACACGACTCGACTCGCATGAATTAGTTTATCTGATGGCGGAATGATCAGCGTGGCTGTAGTCACCAGGAAACAGGTATGAATGGCCTGAGTTTAGAGGTGATCAGATAGACTGCTTTGTTTGGCTTGTAATGTGATACCATTTGCCGCTACCAATCAAAATGTGATCCGCTCAGAGAAGCTACGTATGTCATGAAGGATGAGGATGTGCACGTGAGGAAACAATGGGAATGCCAGGGGCAACACAACGCGTCCTTTCCGTGGGCGAGGACGCCGCGGGCCTCATTGTCATGGTCAGCTTTGGAATGCCGTGTGCGTGCCCGGTCTGAGGCCCTTCGTCTCGAACATACCATCAACAATGGTGATGTCCTTGAGGTCGGGATCCGACTCGATCGTCGGCAAGGTGGGCCAGGTGCTTCTGCGGAAATAGGTCGTCAAGTGCCACTTGCGGGGTTTCTTCGTCTTCGGAGCGCTTGGGTCGGTGAACAGGGCGGTGGCGGAGAAGGTTTGTTTCGTCATTCCGTCCGGTTTAACGGGACGTGTGCGGGATTTTGCGTGGAAAGAGGGGTGTACTCTGCGACAGGCATGTCGGTCAGTGGCTTGGCAGATGAGGTGTATGCGCGCAAGTACTTCTCTGCTCCGGGAGGCAGGTCAACCTTCTCCTCATAGTACAAGAAAGGGCCTTCAACCTTGCTCTGAGACCACTTCATCCTGTCGGTCCAACGTTGGAAACTCCCACCGGAGCCATCAACACCTTGAATGAAGTCGTATTCCTCCCATACGAAAACGGCGCCGTCTTGAATGAACTCTTTCCCTTCGTCGACGTTCAGCCGGCGTCGTATTAGGGGCAAGATGCTGCAGTAGGATGAGCACGTATGTACAAAGCACGTTGCTAGCCGCACCCCATCCTAACCGCCTCGAAGACGATTAGGGCGTCTCGTGTGTTGCGGATTTCTGTCGGAGATGAGTCAACTCCCAGGGACACATCAATCTCGGTACTTGCGTAGACAAGTATGGGTGGGCTTCTCGATAGGATCTCCAAACTTAAAGTCGGGTATATAGAGCGACATGGTGGTTGAAAGCAAGCAGGATCGGGGGAGTGACTAGACTCGCGGACTCGTTTATTGCCTCCGACAGGCCTCGCGGAGGGGGGTGTAACCGAACCCCGTCATCAGATGCGGTCGAAAAGTCATGCGGAGGGCGGAGGTTTGCCTCCCAAATATGGTATCTTCTCCTATTCCGCAGAGATGCTTCTTAAATTCACACACTTCTTCCAAAGCTAATATTGTCTTCTTCTCCTGACAGACGAATCATCTTGATGAAAACGTACTTTAGGGAAAAAAAACGTTACATAATCCTACAGGAGACTACAACGCCGATGATCATCAGCCGAAAACAAGTCACCAAGCGCTAGCGTATCTCATTTATCGTCCAGATATCCCGGTCCCACAGTCGCCCAGCAGTCCCAAGCTCCGTCAACACACCCGGAATTCCGCCCTTGAACCTCTCCTCGATCAGATTCACCACTCTGAGCCCAAATACGACCTCGTTATCCCCTATCACCGCCCTAAGCGCGCGGATCAGTTCCTTCGCCAATCCCGCCTCCTCGGTGTAAACCATAAAGAACACCTGCCTCGACCCTGACAGCTCCCTGACGAACCTTGTGAACGCTGGCGACACCTGGCCGGACGTTGGAAGCCAGCAGTCACTCAGGCACAAGCTCTCCAACTGAGGGAAATGTCCTTGAGCGAGAAGGAAGTCCTCTAGATGGACACGGTACAGACTCAGCCGGCGGATCCCTACCCAGCTCCTGGGCAGCGTCATGTGCAGTCCCTGATCGCTGGCGGTGTACAAGCCCCAAAAGTTACTCTCTCGCGGGAGGATGAACTCCTGCAGCCCGCTGCATCCCGCTAACGCAGAACGCTCAGCGTCCGTCTGCCCTCCCCAACAACTGATGAGCAGGCGTTCCAGGCTGCTAGAGAGCGTAGCCAGGAGGCCACACACGAGCTGCGCGATCTCGGGTTCGAAGCTGAGCGGGCCGACCGCAAGTGTTCGCGTATGCTTCTTGATGTGTGTGCCCTGCTGCAGACTGGGGATCTGCGACGCCATCTGAATGTAGATGCGGCGGTACAGGTGGGGGAGTGCGATCGACCGGCATGCGGCGGAGGTGAGGCACAGCACGTACAAGGCCTTTCGGTTCGCGGGTGGGAGAGAATACGCAAGATCGTTTGCGGGTGTAGCAATGTGTGAGATGATCTCGATCAACAGTTCGGGGAGTAGGGCCATGGTCGTGTGAGTTGCTCTAGCGACTGTTAGAACGTCTTCCGCTCCAGTAATGAAAACGTACGACAACTTATATGATACAGTGCTTGAACACTATCTACACATCTGAGTTGATTCAGTCCAGCACAGCTCCGAGTTGTACAACGCAAGGCAGAGGTCGTGTGTTCGTGGGGTAGTCGCCCTCCAGCACAGAGCACCATCACTGCCTCCAATTCCAGAAGCGCTCGGTCTAACTTCGGACAACCCGGCACTGCCACTTACCCCTTCCTCACGCGCTCTTTTCTCTCGACCGTCACCTTACGCGACTCACTCTACAGGCTTGGAGGACGACGATGGCGGACCTGAGCGCCCAAGTACAAGAACCGTTCGACCTCGTCCGTCTCTCACTCAGCGAACGCGTATTCGTAAAGCTCAAAGGAGAGCGGTCCTTAACCGGTGTGCTACACGTATGTTCTCCCTCCTGCTCATCGCGTGCGCTAATGTTAGGACGTCGCTGTTGGCAGGCGTATGACGGGCATATGAATATGATCATGAGCGATGTGGAGGAGACGATTCTCATGGTCGAACCTGAGGAGAGCGGGAGTACAGTCCAGGTACGTCTTTGCTTTTCCTGGGCGCTCGCATGTTGACGCTGGTGGGTAGACGATGAAACGCGCTATGGAGATGCTTTTCGTAAGAGGGGATAGTGTTATCCTTGTCTGTCTCTTTTCCTATTATATCACTTGACTTGTACTGATGAAGAACAGGTATCACCGGGGGCACGATGAGGATCGCTTGTGTGACAGTTGAGCTAGGAATGTCCGTCCGGCCCAGAGTGTTATTGGGGAGATGTATGCTATGCTGCAGGGTGATGGCAATACAATGTAACACGCCGCATACTCTTGCGCACTAATATCCAGGACCGATCAACGCAATTCAACGAAAAGCACGCAAAGAGTCAAACATCAGCGCCCTTTACGGTGGAAGCGCCTGGCATTTAAACTGGCTGTCCTCACAAGAACCATGCTTTGCAGAAGTGATGCGATATGATGCCAATCTGGAGACCACAAGAATCCCAATATAAAGATACAACTTGTCGATCCTACGATGCCCCGTTTCTTCGCTCCTGATTCCTGGCTCCCGGCTCTCCTCGCTTCTCCCAACCCACGAGCAAACCCTCAAGCCGTCGCCTCGGTATGTTCTGCTGTCGTCGTCGGTGTGTCTTCCTGATCCATCACTTCCTCCACCCGCGGGACGACTCCCCCGACCCGCAGCACCTCCACTTCTCGCCCCCGCCCGTCGCTCCCATTCCGCGAACCATTCCCCGTCTCTTCCCCTGTTTCGTCCCCCACTTGCGCAGGACCGTCTGTCGTAAGTGGCCAAGTACCATCCCGGATCCATCCGCCGCGGAGGATTCGTACCTTCCAAAGCGGATAGGATGCGAATAAAGGCAGGGAGGGTTTTTTAAAGAGCAGAAATCGTGGAACAATGGGCGAATCCGGTGGAGAAAAGAAGGAAGTGATCAGACCATCAGAATTACCTCAGATTTTCAAGACTCACCACCATAGCGAGCGGCAAAGGGGTTGTAAGCTGGGTCCCCGCCGTCAGCCTCTGCCACACCTGGCGAATGCTAGCCCATATCCCCTCGTCGGCCTCGGCGTTGTCGACGCTCAAAAGCTGTTCGAGCCTCTGTCTGCCTGGATGTTGATGAGCGGAGGTACGCCCGCGTGTGAAAGGTAAAAGAGGGAGAAGCCTTGGTGGCTGCCGCGTGGGCGCAGCCGATGTAAGGGTAGGTGACGTCGGTGGCGCGAGCCACACTGCTCTTCGTGCTTCCCAGAAGATCTGCTGTGCCTCTCCAGGCCCTGCCCCTGCGCTGACCCCTTCCCTGCCGGTGCGCCTCCCTCTCTCGCTTCTCCCCCCTCTTTCCTCCCGTATCATTCCTGCGCATCCCGACCCCCCTGTTCTCTCCACACCTCGCAGACCAGAGGGCGAGGTGGACATCTCATACTAGCAATTGCAGAATTTTGGCAATGAGTCCAAGTCCGAATCTGACAAGAGCGAAATCGAAGCCAAGAGCGCCAGAACGATTCAAGCAGAAGCAAAAGCAAAAGCAGATAACGAGCGTGTGCAGTATATAACCAGAAACCAGAAAACCAGAATCTGAAGGGAGGGAAAAGCAGACAGAAGGGTCAGGGTACGAGGCGCTTTGCCTCTCGTGAGCGCGATACATATATACCTATCGCGCGTCGCGCAGCGTTCCCTTTTTCGTTTGCTTGCCTCCCCCTGCCTTTCCGGCAGCGTCCGTCTTCGTCTTCTCCCTATCCGCTATCTTCAATACTTGCTGTATCCTATCGCCAGAGAACTGTACCGTGAGCGAAGACCGAGTGTGGACTTCGTGGGATCCAACGCCCCCTCCGACGTTCCACGATCCCCCTGGCGCCGTTTCAACGACGCCCCTTGCTCTGTTCTCATACAATGACCTTCAAATTTGTCAAACAAATTTAATGAGTGCAAGATGCTGGATCTCTTGTACAGTCATCGTTCCTTCCATACCTGACCACATGACCCCCTTGCCGGCCGATCATCTTATCCTCTTGCAGATCGGATGAATTTTCCATTTCCATTTCCATCCACCGTTCCATTTCTTTTAGCCTTTCGATTTCCATTTCGTTTCGTTTCGTTTTCTTTCTTTCTCGTCTTCATTTCCATTTTCCCTACCAGCGCCTATTTGCTCCGTCTAGACAGGCAAACTGCCGTCTTCCCATTCTACGATTTCCGCTTGCCTTACAGTTCCTCCTTGATTCCTTTGCGTTCCCTATTACATGCTCGGATTCCTCTCATCTCTGCTCGGCGCAGTACTCGGATGCAAGCTCTTGACCTCTTGGCTTGGAACGCACAAGAAGCAGGTCGACCCACCCGGAATTGGTATTACTGTCATGAGGAATTTCCGTGCGCTTTTTGTCCGCTATCAGATCATCAGATCATCCTCGGTCAATGCTCAGCAAACCAATGGCTAGGATCATATTTGTATTTTCCCTGCTCGCTCGAGGACACAACTCTGCCTTGTTCCGTTTCCTTCCCCGTGCCTCTCCCTCTTTAGAGCTATGCCAACGCCCAGGTCCGCCCTCCTCTCGCAGGTGGGAGCGTGACTACTCCACTTCTCTCTGCAGCGGATACGGTCCGAGTCCGCTTGGGCTGACATAGAGAGGGTGTGTCAACCCTTCTTTTTGATGGTTAATACCCAGGAGGCTAACCATATGCAGGTACATGCCCTCTTCATGGTTCACGCCTATCCCAATACATCTCCCAGATGTGGTACAGATATCCCAATTCGGCGCTTTGCCTTATTTCCAGCCCAAATCATTTCCCAATGACGTTTCAGGCACGCGGCACCTTCTTCGCATGTCGTCACCGGCTTCCCCGAAGCTTCTTCTCGGCCCAGCCCCTCGGCCTCGTTCCACAAAACTGAATGGGTGAGACATCCCTAAGAGCTACCCTTAAGACCCTTAGCATTTCGGCTGGTTACCCCGCGCTGGTTGGTCATCTTGTCGCCGCTTTTTCCCACCAACTTAAAACTGCAGTTCTATCTAAGAAAATGAATGGAGTGGATGATTCCATGTATTTGGGATTTTATATTTGTTCTGTGTGGGTTTCGTGGGAATGTTCATTTGTGTTTAATTGGATTTGATATAGTGGAACGGAAGTTTGTCCATTGCCGTGAAAGCGGTGTGAAAGACCCACATTACACATACATAAGATTAAATGTCATGGAAAAAGATTCATACGTATTGCTCTTTGCGATCACACCAGCTGCACCATATCTTCGAGGCCCAGATAGCTCTTCTCATGACAGCCTCTGAAGGAACGTCCCCATGGTGGTGGCCTGATCGGCCGACCAACCTTTTCCACAACCCCGGCGACCACGAGAAGCAGATGGAGCCGTCGTATCCAAGCTTTCCCATCTGCCAGCAGACAATCCCACTTTAGAGACATCAGCCTAATTTAAGAGATGATGTCATTGTCCAACCGTCGCGGCCTCCATGCCTCAGATATTTTGAGAAAAGAATGCTGGGGACCGTTGGGGACGGAGAAGGGGATCGGGAAGTTTGTGGGGCTATCACAAGCCTGCGCTCGGGGCCGTTGTCTGGCCAGGGGCGGGTGGCAGGACGTGCCGAAGGGACATCAAGCTTGCCTAAGGTCGAATGGGCGGATACTGTAGCATTTGGCGCCACTGGAGATGCTACACAGAGAATAGAACATATTTGTCCCAGGAATGAAATTTTCCTAGTATCGAGTGGTAGTTCTCTTTCTACTCTTTAACCCTGTCAACTCAACAGATCAAATTGTCCGCGAACCTGAGCTTAGATTACATATATTAGGTAGGACGGAAGTCGTACGAGTTCATAAAATCCTTTCGAGACTCGGGTGAAGGAGGTTGAAGCTCAGCCAGTCGCCCGTCGTACTTCACCAATTCCGAACATCTCTCGGTCACTTGTACAGGACTGCCTCCTTCTTGGGTCTTGCTTAGATATAGTGTAGGTGGGACACGAATTAGGGCATGAAGGGCCGGGTTACGTTCGCTGGTCCGTCGTCGCTCTGAGACGAGTCACGTAGTTGCGCACACCAACCGTACCACTCACCTCATCACCGACCTATGAGGCAGCGGCCAACATACAGAGAACTTGGTCAACGAGTGCTGGGTTGAACTGCTAAAGAACACGTATTGTAGTTCCGTTCGAGCACGGGAGGCCACCTGAATAGTTCGATGAAGGAGCGCTTCGTTCACGTGTTAAAGAGAGTTCCAATGCCACCTGCATCCCAGCGGAGTTACACACATGTTCGGCCCGTTAAGAAGTTGGGTAGCGATCAACACCGCGTTAGTGAACAACGCAGGAAGAATGTCGAGGATCACCCACCGGGACCTTCCAGGTATTGTAGGCCCACTCCGGCGAGATTCACCGCTTGCCGAATTTGCAGGAAGTGCATATAATAATTCTTTCTATTTGATTAGAAGGATTTACGCTATTCAGCAAGGTACAACAAACGACGCAGCGCAGTACCAAATTTTCGCCCAAACTATTCGTCTATTCCTCGTCCTCGTCTTCTTCTTCTGACTCGTTATCATCGTTCCGGACGATGCGCGCGAACGGTTTTGCACCCTGCGCGACATGCCCAGCGATGACATTCGCCGCCGTAGCCAACCCTTGCTCCACTTCGGAAATCTCATCCTCATCCTCATTTTCCGAAATGGTTTCTTTGCTTTTCAACAGCCTGTTTCCAGCCTGTTGGCGCGCGATCGTACTTGCGAGTGGCAGCGATTTCTTTTCTTTGAGAATGACGATAAGCTCGGGGTACGGCATCGTTTCGCCGTTTTTAACGCCTTTCTTCATGCGGAACCACCGTCGTTGAAGCTGATGCGCGCTCCAGAGGTTCCAGTCCGAATCGGCGATGAGTTTCCAATCAATCTCGCTGTCATGTGAGATTTTGAGAGACGCGATTCTGCAGTTACAATGAGTTACATCAAAAATAACGCTGATGAGTGTGGTCTTACTTTTGAACCAAAATATATGCATCCTGGCCTGACCATCTAGGCTTGCTGCCTTGGTTTTTGACCCGCTTGTTGAGAGCATCAGTCCATTTAATCCGGCATTGTTGTCGAGTTCTCCTGTTGCCCATGCGTTCGCTCACAACACCCCAGAAGATGTCATTCTCCGCATTCTTGCCCTGGTCGGTAGTAAGTTCGCGGACAATTCGAGTGAGGTCCTCCTCTTCTTCCTCTGTCCACGGACCGAAGACGCGGGATTCGCGATGCTGAATGTGGTTGCGGAAGCGGTCTCGACAGTCTGAAGACATGCGTCCGACTTTCTCGGAAACGCGCTCCCATTGTTGACCGTATTCGACAACAGCCCTACAGTGATGTTAGTCACATCCCCAGAGTTAGGTATGCGGTGACATACGCTCTCAACGCAGCATCTTCCTCTGCAGACCACTTGCCCAAACGCTTCAAAGGATGCCAGGTTCTTCGAACATGGTGATAAACGGCGATGATGGGTCTCTGCGGCACGGAGGTGGCTACGAATGATGGTTAGACGGGCAAAAGATAAGTATATGCGCGTGAACATACTGATTTCAGACCAGAAAGTCGAGTTGGCCTCCCTGGCCTTTTTACCTTTTGCGAAAATAACGTCGCGGAGGGCATCAACGCTCATATTCCGCTGAATACGGTATTCTTCAAGTGCGGTGCTAATCAGCTCTTCCTCGATGGTGCTGAACTTGCCCTTCTTATATTGTAGGCCTGGTATGAAGTCAACATGCGATTTGAGAACACTAGGAAGTAGACACATACCATGGCTCACGACTAACTCGGCCAATTTTGTTGGGTTCAGCCATTTCGTTGCCAGCAATGTCGCGTGGTCCATGCCCTCATACTCTGATGCAGCGCTTGCATGATTCGTCTGGAGTGCCCCACCCAAGCCAATGACGGCCTTGCGCTGTTCTCCACTCGTTGGCCTCGCCTTAGATCCCTGGGGCGTCGTGTTCGCAGCACCCACCGCATTCCCTGAAGGCTGCGCGACGAGATCTGTACCCATAGCCCGAAGGGAGCTCGCAAACTTGCTAAGATCGATCTGCTGTAGCGCTCGAATAAGGTCGGAGTTGTTCGTTCCGGGCGGAATGGGCATCGGAGGTACGGCAACGTTGAAGAAGGAAGCAGGAAGCAGGTCCTCAACAAGAGGCGCAGCTGTGGGGCTGTCCATCTCCCACGGAGGTCGGATGAACTGGGACGAGTCGAGGTACTCATCATACGGTGGTGAGTTCGGAGCAGCGAGCGGCGGGGGTGCTGGGGTAATCGCTGTGATGGTCGGAGGCGCTCGCCCTTTGCCTTTGTCGTTCTTCTGCGTCCCATTGCCAGTTCCCTCAAGTGCACCCTCTGCAGCTCCTTTGCTTTTCTTCTTCTTCTTCTTCTTCCTCACTCCTCCGTCTCCATTCGCGTTCAGGTCCAAAGATTGTTCGTCATCCTCTCTCCGGCGCTTGTGCGACAAGCCACCGGATGTTGCCTCGCTGACGGTAGCGTTGATGTCGGCAATTGCATTCTGGAGTACGCGTTCGAAGTCCGGGCTAATGCCGTCCAGAGGGTTGGTCAGAGTTGCATGGGCGGTCTGCGCGGTCTGCGCCATGGAGTTGTGTGGTCCTCGACCTGGGAGGTTGCTTAGGGGCGGACTCGTTGATGAGGGCAAGCTGTTGCTCGCACTTTTCGAGGACTAGCGGGACTCGTCAACGGATTTAAGTTTTGTCGCGTGTTCGGAGGCTAATCCCCACGTAAGCTGCTGAGGTTATTTGGCAACCACTTTCAACTTGAAAGTCTTGCAGTAATGACACCAGCTACTTATTGCTTTACCTGCTCATAGTATCACTTGTTATGCATAGGATAGCACCGGTCTGTGCGGTATGAGTTGATACTGTCCCTTCCATGGCCACCCTCGCTGCCTAGGCGAGTCAAGCACCTTGCAGACTGCTGGTCTCTCATCTGGCCTGTTTCGCTCATCTATCTGCCCTTGGTCGCCTTTGGTCATTCGGTCCTTATATGACCTCTTGAGACGGTGCTATCATGCGAATGATTTGACTTGGGTATGACTCGACTTCCGAAGCTTTGGGGTGTGCGGCAGGCACAACTTACGAAGTCTATCCCAAGGCAATCGGTTTGTTTGCGAGCCTTTCAACTGGGGAGCATAGATGGTCTTACGGGCGTTATTTGTGCATGGAATCTTCCCATAATTTCGGATATGATGACGGAGCTAGCTGGCAGTCTTTCTACTCGAAAAGCGGCACCGGTGAATGTCGAAGCTCCGGAAGTAGCTTTGCAGCTTTCTTTGGGTCAGGTGACGACCAGCTCATGCGAACAATGCCCGAGTTGCCTTCTTTGGCAAATCGATCGCTTACCGCAATGATAATACGTCGGTATGCCGGACAGGTCCGGTCTATTGTTTCCAGTCTTCTTCGTTGCACATCTTTCCCTTTACTCCGCTTCTGTGAGGGAATGGAATGCGAAAAGCCTTACGAGTAGGTATGTGGTGCCTCGTTGGAAACCCCTGTCTTCCCTAGGAACAAACGCCACGTGTGACGTTCTTCCCAAATATCAAGGGACTTATGATCAAGTCGTATCCTTTCTGGTCATCGCTCACAGCCCAGTACCCAGCGGGCGGCGGGGCGGGCAACCCATCGACCGGATCTCGGTAATCCCCGTACCAAATGATATTCAGCAATTGAGAAGGGAGGCTGATCTGTAGTCGTGGAGTCTGCATGGCGTCTGGGCGGCGCCGTTTATCCGTCTCGGCATTTGGACATGGAAGCGTGCTCTCTCCCACGTGAATAACGATCCGATTTCCATTGATGCATCAAATTCCCACCACTAAGTGGCTGCCGTCGCCAATCCCCTTACGCCAACAGCTCCGGTATTGAATGTCTTCGAGCATGATGAGGTATGATTGTGGTCCTCATTTCTCCCCGAATATCGGATTTACATCCCGTCAGGCCATCAAGCACCACCTCTCCCCGCTGGCTTTCAACACCTCTCCCTACACCACATATGCGTCGTTCGAATACCTGACCATCCTCGGCTCCAACATCGCAGGATGCATCGTTCTCAGCGTTCACGATGGCACTGGCATAGCTCATTACGCAACCTTGCCTCTTTCCAAGGGCGATGTTTCGAACAACCTTGCGAACAGGGGCCTGGCCTTCATTGACAATCAAGATTTCACCAAGCTGGATAACAGACTCGTGCGCTTTAAGATTGCGAACGGTTCGAGCAAGTTCGGCCCTGGCACTTGCGTTATATCTTTCAGCAGCTCATCAGATTCCGGAGGGAACATTGCCACTATGACTGTCACTAACGGACAGCTCGGATGGCTGGGATCAACTGGGTACTGTACTTTCTTGTACGTGTCTATCAATGCCCACCTTTGAGTTCATCTGAGGTGGCCATTGCAGCAAAACACCGTTGGCACCTGGCGCAATTCAGACCAAAAGAGTTGCCTGAGCGGCCCGAGGTTTGCCGAATTGGTGATTGTTCACTGTGACGTTCGTGGCTGGAACCATATTCCTGGTGCCTCACGATACCTGCGCATCTGTAGGATTGATTCCATTCCAAGGGATACTCTATGCACATTTGCATAGTTCGTGAGATATTCCATCATCTCATCTTCGAGGCGTATCAAGGAGTTAATCAATGTATGATGTCGATTTTGCGCGCAGTTGTTGGTTCTGGTCGCATGGGTTGAGGTTGGGTCGGAGAAACGTCGCCTCCGAAAGACAATGAAACTGTACAGGACCAAGGGTCCGCCATAAATTGGGACTCGGAAGTATTCTCATAACTCCTTGCATTAACGAGAGCGGACGACGACATCATATACTTTCTCGCCCCATTTTTATTATAACAAAAGTAAGCAGTCCGGCATGAAGATAATGACGACGAGAGACTTACATTTGGCCGCAGGATGTCTGACGCTGGAGATGCCATCGAGGTTGAGGTCGCCCATGAGGAGGTCGCCGTCGCGCAGGACGCTCCCAAGGGCAAGATGAGCGTCGAGGATGCTCTTCAGGTGCGTGATCACGCTTTCGCCGGTGCGGGATCTGACACAATGTTCAGCAAGTCCTGAAGAACGCTCTGACCCACGATGGTCTCGCCCGCGGTCTGCGCGAGTGCACCAAAGCGCTCGACAAGCGCCAGGCTCATCTCTGCGTGCTGGTCGAGACCTGCACTGAGGCTGAGTACCTGAAGCTCATCGAGGCCCTATGCGCCGAGCACAAGATTTCGCTCATCAAGGTATCCGACGCCAAGGTGCTCGGAACCTGGGCTGGTCTGTGCAAGATCGACCGTGAGGGCAACCCACGGAAGGTTGTTGGCTGCACTTGCGTTGTCGTCAAGGATTATGGTGTGGAGTCCGAAGGTCTCCATGTCCTCCTCGACTATTTCAAGAACCGCTAAATGGGTGAGTTGTTGCTCCAGATAATATCTTTCCCTCTTCGCGATGATATGTAGACTCCCTCTACTGAGCTGCGGCTTTGAGGATTAGTCTAATCCGGAATCATTATATTTTGTCTGATCCCCTTCACCTTTATCATAATCCTGAATTGCCTCAGTATGCTGATCAACCTTTCTATTCAGAACGTTCGTCTCATGCTGGGGGATATTGATTGCGGTCATGTACTACCTTAGCGACGTTGCACACCATAATCTATGAGGGCCTTTCCATACTTCCATGCACCGTCGCATGGCTGGCCGCGTGTTCAAAGGGGCTTCTAAGATTGTCACACCCTTGATGGCGGGTAACAAGTCCCTTTGTTGGAAGGCGAATACATCGGTCTCTCCGCGTGGTGGGACAAAAACTGAGGCGTTGGACGACTTCTTTGACGCCGTTCCTAAGATGACATATGAAGTTACTTCTTCCGATTACTCGAGCCTTTCCTAACCTAGGTATCAAATTCTAGGGCACAAAAAGATCGGCGAGTCCCTTTCCCACCAGTGGATGATCGTCACCAACATGCCGAACTTTCCAAAGCCTTCATATGCTTCTTCCCATACGAAGAACTAGTTTTGCCGGTGACAACAGTAGAGAAAGAATCAGAGGAAGCTTATAATACGCTTCGCATGATAATGGGAAGGTACAAAAGGACAGTACTGATCTGCCTGTAACTTCAAACCGCTGTCATCTGCTCCGCCCTTCCGCAGCCCTCTCCAAATTGTGAAGAAAACGGCTTGTTCAACGGCGATGGCGCTCGTCTCTATCCTTCCTCGAATGTCCCCACATCCCGCATCTTCTCTTGGAGGCAACGCTGACCTCGCCTCTAAAGCGCGTGTTGTGGCCTGGTGGGATCGCTATCTTGCCGGCCCCGCGTCAGGGCAATTTGGCGCGAATGTCAAACCACATTTGAAGATCGTGAGCGTTAGCGTGTTCACCGAGCATGGGTGTGATGTTCACGAGGTGGTCCATGAGGCGACCGTTTCCGAAGGTAAGCAAAATGGACTTTGATATTCAACCACAACCCTTAAGTGCCTGCAGCGTTCTTGAACTGTAACGGCGTCATGCACGGAGGGTGTACTGCATTTATAATGGACATGTAGGTCTGATGGAACTCATGGGCCACGGTTGTATTTCGCGTTGACAAGTGCCCAGTTGCACCACGACAGTCCTGTTTCCGTTCTCCGACGCGAGAATGAACGTCTCGCTGAATCTAGAGGTTACCTACCATGTGCCGGCTCCATTGTAAAGCATCTAACATGCACGAAAGTTGACCTTGCTAATCGGGTGTACAGAGGAACCCGACTACGAATCGTCTCGAGCTCGATATCGCTCAGCAAACGTGTTCCAACCCTCAGCTGTCAGGTATATTTGATTTACTTCGAGATTGCATTCTTTTATTGATACCGATACAGGTGTACGATGCGGACCGAGGAACTTTGCTGGCGAGTGGAAAACACATAAAGATGTATACGCGGGGAGATGCGAGGCTTTAGGGAGATCTGGACTGATTGTAAGCATAACCTGTCATGTGTTGTTGTGAAATCAAATACATCAAATCAGCTGGATGATGCGCTTCTCCACCAGTGGACATGCCCGTCGTTTCCTCCAGTTATTAACTGTCCTCCGCCAGGCCGCCAACTGACAGACCAGACTTCCCCTGTGTCCTGGGTGGTCGAGACACATCTGCGTGTCTCGAGGTCCCAGATCTTGAGCGTCTTATCCGACGAGCTACATAGTATCGGATGAGCATATGTACGAGTCAGAGTACAGATGGCAAACCCGCTTGCTATTAGCTTGCCATCCGAGGAGAGATCCACAGACAGCACCCAAGACCTGTGACCCTGAGGGCCTTCAAACGTCGTCACGATCCCACCGCGATGTCCCCGTAGATCATGCAGAACTAAACGCTTGTCGTCCGCAGCGGAAAGCAGCTCCTTCAAGACAGGCTAAGATATTGCTCTCGGTCAAGTAAGGTGAAATGGCTACCTGAGAATCTTTCGACCACGACAGCGTACGAACGCAACCGGCATGGGAATCATAATTGGAGATCAGTTCTCCGGTGTTAGAATCAGAAACAAAGATCTGGCCATCCTTGTTTGACATTGCTATTCGCTTTCCATTTGGACTCTGTTGATGCGCATATATGCGTCAGACAGGACACCATGGGGAGCTAACAGGAACGAACATAAGAGACACACATTCCAAATATATTCTTTCCCGGGGTGAACGACGTCAACCGCTCTCCAAACGTATCGTGAAAGGCAGAGTATATGTTGATAGCTCCCTGCTGCCCCACTGCAGCGTACGTTGATTCGTCAGGATGCAGCGACACCGACCAGGCTGCGGGCAGTGTCAAGACCGGTCCGATAAACAAGAAGGGGCAAACCGACCAAAATCCGATCCATCCTTGTAGTCAAATTTTCTGCCCAATATTTCGCCAGACGATAGCTTGACAAGACGCGTCACACCGACAATAGAATTACACAGTGCATAGTTCTCGCCGGGGCACGACACGGAAATCAAAGCTAGAGACTCCGGAGCCGGTCCAGGAAGCACTTGCGCATCTGACGAATTCCTTTTAAAGAGACCAACGTTGGTCACAACCACAATATCTCCGCATGGTATTCGTCCTACCATGTATGGAACGAGCCATCAGAAGAGATGGAGATGCACTTGTCATCACCAGTGGTCCACTTGACCCCCCAGACAGGTCCAGAATGCTTGTCTTTCTCCGCGGATTGTTGAAATTGGATAAGTTGTTGACTCTGATGAGAGCATATATCCAACTTCTCGTGAAAGCCACACTGAGAAACATACCATCGTGTTTGCCCTGCAGATCAGCCAGAGATGGTGGTCAAGAGTAGAAAGCGGAGAAACTCTCGGTTCCGGACGACCCCTGGGATTGAAACGTCAACGGCGCGCCACTGTCGACGACTGGGTACTGGCAAGCATCTCACATCCCAAACCAAAAGTGCAGTCATATTGTACACAAGATGGCATCGGACCAGGAGAGCTTCACGTTTACCGTGGGCAAGCTCGGTATGCAGGGCTGAATCTAACTATGTTAATAATGACTGATTTGGTGTTTGTTTGTGTAATCAGATGCCGGCATGGCTGTAAGTACTGTCCACTGAGCCAACGTTACGCTTACTGACGTCGCTCTTTAGATACTGATAGGGGAGCGTGCTCATCTCATCGAGTTCCCGTCGCTGCTCCTTCCTCCCGGTGTGACATCTGGATCAATTGTGAACATAGCGGTGTATCGGAACGCGGATGAGGAGCATCGGCAAAAGCAGGAGTTCTGGGACCTGCAGGAGGCTATTGTCAAGACGTACGGGAAGGAGGTCCCAGAAGCACCGCAGGTTGAGGTCCGTTAAATGTTCTCAAATTTTTGGCCCAACGATGCTCATGGTTTCACGCATATAGGTGCGGAATGTTACGCAAACCTCTGTGACATTAGAATGGCCCCCATTGAAGCTCGCAACCGCCAAATTACGAGGACTGGACATCTATCGAAACGGACAGCGACTCGCGGCTGTTCCCTCGCCTCTCACAAACACCACTTCCCGTCTTTCTGGGCTCTCTCTTCAAACGCAGTATACCTTCCAGCTCGTCCTCCGCACCACAGCCGGCACACTTCCGTCAAACGTGATCAAGGTCACCACCCACAGCATCAATGATACATCCGGTATCAGTGTCTGCTTCGGTAATGTGCAAGATGCAGTGCTACTCGAACGCTCAAAAATGTGCCTCAAGGAGATGGGGGCGAAGTGGAGCGATCGCATTCAGATCGACACTTCGCACTTTGTCTGCACAACCCCTGCTGCCCTGACACCTGCCTCTGCGAGCGCAGCCTCAGGGCCAGGTGTTGAATACCAACGCGCCCTGCAAGCCAGCATTCCTATCGTACAGCCACAGTGGATTATAGCTTGTTACAGCGAGAAGAAGTGGGTTTTCGGGTCTACTTTTCAGCGTCTAGCTAACCTATTCCCAGAATGGTCCCTATTTCTGGATACTACCTGGGAGCCTCTCCCTCTGCGCCGGTCTCATCTCCGCCATTTGCCCGGCCTACCTCCGATCATTCGGGATCTGTTGGTTCCGCAGGCTCACCTTCCCGCAGAGAATCTCTTCCGTCTGTCGGATCTGCCCTCGCACACCACAACGGTCCAGACCGTGGGCCAACACCCAGTCCAGAGACGCTCGCTCGGAGAGGGGGGATCAAAGAGGATGAGGAGGTTGTTCGAAATGAAGACGCTGCGGGGCATCCGCCTGCGCATGCTCCGGAGACTCATGAAGGCACTGCGAATGGTCATAGCCGGGCTGCGGAGGGTGAGGACATCGTACGATCCATGTCGCCCAGCGGAAGACCGCGTAACGGCACCATGAACAAAGAGTTCAAGTTCCCGTCGCCTGTGCAAGACAAATCTTTCCCTTTGCCGGTACCAACGCCGTCTAACGCCGCGAGCGCGAGCACAGCCGTCGAAGGAGAGTCAACAACAGCGGCTCTGACGGCGAAACCAGACCCTGAGCCGTCAATTTCCACTGTTCCGGCCAAGCTTCCTGAGCTGCCTGAAGAGCCGCCAAAAGAAGAACTGCACGCAGATGCGCCACAGGATATCCCCATTTATGAAGGACACGCTACTGGCCCAGAGCTCCTCATTTCTCCACCCTCTGTGGAGGATGGCAATGAGCTCATGAAGCAAGTCAAGGTACCAGGGAATTCGAATGAAGATGAAGATGACATCGGCGACGTTGTCGAGGTGGACTTGACCTAGGCTGTTGATGCCTGCATGTTCTTTTCCTAAACTTATTTAGGGGAAATGGGTGACATATACCATTACAGTATATACGTATTGCTCTGCCTTTTTCACTTCGTGCAAATATTACGCTTATCATCAGAAGGAAACAACTCATACAGATACAGATACAGCTGGTCATAAGGGGTATATCAGAAGAAAAGACAGAGAACTCGTCACTTCCCCAACGCCTGCGCGACGATCTGATCCAGATCTAACGAACCCTTCCCACGGCTCTCGTAGACTGGGAACTTGGAAGGAACACCTTTAGATCCATAGCTCTCCCTAATACGTTTCACCATCCACGCGTACCACTGTTCCAGTGTCCTCCCATGCAATATCGGGACAATAATGATCGTCATATTGTCGTTTCCATGGTAATTGGAGAGGCCAAATTCCAGGATGCATTCGCAGATCATCTCCAGAGGTAGCCTTTGGGCAATGCACCATCGGACTGCATCACACATGTTTTGATTTGAATCTGCCTCGGCGGTTTGATATAACGCGTAGGTTTGTTCGGGACCTAAGTTATTGACGGCGACCAGCGCATCGGCGTCGTCGAGCTTGTCATATGCTTGGGCGATATTTTTCGGGGGTGGACCGTCGGAAGGCACAGAAACGCCCCTGAGACAGTTTCCCTCGGGATCCACTGTCTTCAGGCCGTTTTTCGTAAGCTCAGCTCTATTGCGCAGTGCATTCCAGACGCCTATGTAAGTTTAACATAACTGCGTATTGTGCTGCGAGAGAAAAATGTCATACCGTCTGTCACAAGCACCATGAACTCATCCTCCTGGTCGATTGGTGTTTTGCATACTTCCGGAATGCAGCAAACAGGCTGTTTATCGGGGGTTCGGTCAAGGAACTTGATACCTGTATCTCCCAGAGTACGACTGATATTGAGTACCCCTGAAAATCTGCATGAGATGCTACGGTTCAGGTGTTACTCGTGGATGATTACCTAGAATCTTCCCTGCCCGTACGAACCAGCCCTCGTCGACGATACGCTTCCATTCTTCTGAAGAAAGTTGAGCGAGGGAGAGATGCTCATAAAAACGCACTCACCAGGTCGATGTGGGGTGTGATCTTTCGTCAGGGGTTGTGCACGTCCGCCACGAAAGAGCAAAGCACGAGAATCTCCGGCATTAGCCTGCACAAGCGGTTTGTAAAGACAGTAGCGGAGAAAGTTGATGGGGCATACCGTCCATATTCGAGTCTCGTCGCAGAGAGCGATGGTCGCGGTACAGCCGGAGATAGTTGGGTCTCCTATTTTCTGTGGATAGTTCCGGTCCTCCTCTTCCCTCTCCAACGCCAGGACACGTTCTACAGGAAGGTTTGAGTCTATATCATATGCACACCACAACAACATACGGCAGCGGACGTCGTCATCAATGGCAACGAAAGAATCAGTAAAGGCTCTCTTCAGACCCGTTTCATTCCCGCTAAGGTCCTCAGTATAGTCTGGCGATGCAATGAGGACTTCGTGTAACGTCTGGGACGCGTATTCAGCGAGCGTGTAACCTGACACCCAAAGTTGTAGTTCCTCTCTCTAACTAAGTCAGTGAACACTCACCTCGATGTCCGTCAAATACACCGAAGTATGCGTTTGTCGACGAAGGCGAGCCTTTGGGAGCAGGTAGATCGAGATCTACTTTGAACCGATCTTCTTGACCTGTTACACCAATCAACACACGGATCATATCGCTTCTCGAAACTGACTTTTGCGCCAACCGCGCATGGTGCTTGCAGCATAACGGAACTTGCCGTTGAAGTCTGATGTTGTGTACTTTCTTCGATCTATGCTTTTGTGTCAGCCGCGAGGGTTCTCTTGATCGCCGCATCGAAGGCTGAAAGAAGCGACGAACCGAACTCCTGTGTCCAGGAGAGCTCAGAAACTGGTACCATGGTTGCTTTCGGCTAGTCAGAAAAACAGCATTATGACTCTATGAAATGTGCATGCAATCAGGCACTAACCATAGATCACAAGACACAAGAGAAGACAGGGGGGATTGCATAGACGGAGGGGGTGCCAATGCGCGCTTAAATACGACGTCTGACAGGAACCAGTCACAATGAGGCCGGGTTAGAAGGTACGTATCCAACACACGCACCGTATATTTTATACCGCCATGGCCAGCCACGTTTCCAGCAGAGAGACAAAGATACGTAAATAGTCGAATCTAACTGAATTGACGCGGCACCTGTTGGAAATGCCTGTGACGCGAGTCAACCCTTGTGTTGGGCCAGCGTATAAGAGAGCACAGCCAATCAGGCCGGCCGGGATCAAGCTTGTTCTCAAACATTCGAATCATTTACACGTACCCTCTCCCGGATGTGTCGACATCCACGGAAAAGAAGTCACAGATACAAATCTTGATCAAACCGCACAGCCAGCCGGAAATGCCCTTGATCACCGATCAATCCAGGCTTTCAGGGATTGCAGTTGATAATGTTACAAGCCTGACATTACAACATCACCACTGGTATATATGTACAAACATGATCGGGAATATAAAGCAACGCCATAGCTCCTGGAGAACCAACCGATGGACGACAGAACTTTCAGGACTGACCAATGGTGCTCACCTAGGGCGCGTCTTTTGCACGCGCCGCCTCAGCGAGATCCTCCAGCCTCAAGTCCTTTCTTTCTGTATCCCGTCCTCTCTGTTCACTCTCGTCCTCAACTTCACCGTCCTCCATCTCATAACCACTCTGTGCGCCCGTCATGGGAGGTGACCCGCTTGGACTGCGAGAGAGAGAAACCGTGCTCGGTTCGGAAGACTCGGGGCTTGGAGCCTGCTCAATCGGTTCGGGCTCTACTTCGGCAGCGTCGGCGTCAACCTCGATTTCATCTTCTGCCTCGTTCTCCGGTTCGGGCCGGTCACGGTCATCATGACCGTGCTCCCGATCCTCGCCTTCATCAGCGCTTTCGTGACCATCGTCATCCTCAAGTTCAGCTTCTTCGTCCTGCCCTCCCTCTTGATCACCGTCCACCTCACCGAGGGGATGATCCGCGGCTTCTTCCTCTTCTTCCGAAAGCTCTGAGTCGTCCCGATCTTCTACAGCAGCAGTTGTTGGCGCGGGCGGAACTGCAGACCCCTCGCCCTCTTCGCCCTCCTCTCCCTCCCCCTGTGCGTCGACTTCATCATCATCATCCATTTCCATTTCCACGTCAACCTCTGCTTCTTTCTCCTCCTCGGCTTCCTCCTCTTCCCCATCCTCGACCTCGATCTCAGCCATATCCTCATCTTCGTGCTCCCCCCGCTCGTCCTGCTCATCATGATCCTCGTTGTCTTGATGCTCATCATGGTCCTCCTCCTCACGATCCTCTCCTTCCTGATCGTCCTGATCATCATGCTCCTCCTCTTCGTCCTTCTCCCGGCTTCCCTTGCGTCCAGCGATGTAAGACGGATGGAATGTCGGCTTAAGTCTAAGTTGTTGTTCCTCGTCCTCGTCCTCTTCCTCTTCCTCGTCCTCGTCCTCCTCTCTCTTTTTTCTCTCAGCTTCTCTCTCCTCCTCTTCATCTATATCCACGTCTTCTTCTTCCTCTTCCTCTTCCTCTACCTCAGCCTTCTCCACCTTCTTCGCCGCACTGATGCTCCTTTCTCTTCCCCTTCCTCTCTCCCTCTCTTTCCCAAGGCTGCTAACCTCCTTCAGATCCTCTTCGATAACTTCTTTCAGAACCCGGTTCCGAGCCTCCCTCTCGCTCTCCCTCCCTTCCCTGCGTCGTTCTTTTTCCTGCACGCGCTCCAGCTCTTCCTTCAACATGTCCTGCAGTCGGGGATCGACAAATGCCTGTGGTCCGCCGCCGAAGAATGTACGAAGTCGTTTACGCGGGGCGAACCTTGGCACTCTCTCTTCTTCTTCGTATTCCTCCTCATCATCAAAAGACCGGGACCGGGACGAGGAGGGAGTAAAGCGCTCGCTGTACTTGTGCTTCCTCGGCATCGAACGTGTACGGAATGTCATTCGGTCTGGCGCAGCAGGATGCTCATCTAGATCTTCTTGTTCGTCTTGAGACTCAGTCTCACTGAGAGCATCCTCGACGCCTTTAGTGTGCTTGTCGCGCAATCGCTCTGAAGTATAAAAAAGACCATGAGCCAAATTTCCCACAGAGAGGGAAGACCAGCAATGTACCAGAGATCCGCTTATCCAAATCATCGATATCCGAGTCCTCGTCGCTCCAATCATCCCCCTTCCAGACCTTTCTCTCGGCCCCCTCACTATTGCGCGCCATCGGCGCGCTCGGTGCATGCGGCAATCCTCTAAGGTTCTCGAAGATCTTCTCTTTGGTTGCTTCCAGGTATTCAGAGGAATTGTAGTCCTCCATGTTGTTCCTGAGTACTTCGAGCTTGTATCGTGGGCCAAACCACTCGAGGTACTCGTTATTTGGCAAATCCGGGGAAATCTGAGTCTGGCAACCAATGGCTACCGCTGTTTCGTATGTCCAGGTACGAGCAACATTCTTGACGGTATATCCACCTCCACCGACCATCATGAGTGGGACATTGAAAGTTCGCACATAGGCCGCACAGGCAGCGTGTCCTGCAAATGGGTCAGAATGAGTTGTTATTACGCACACTGTGATGAAGATATACACGTACCGTGCATGCTGAGGTTGAACACACCCAGCTTATCTCCTGCCAAGCTATCTGCTCCTCCTTGTAGGACCACCGCTCCAGGTCTGAACCACTCCATGATTTTTCCGACAACGGCCTTGAAATATTCAACAAACTTCTCGTCCGTGAACCCGTCCCGGCAGGGAAAGTTGACTGCATAACCCTTTCCTCTTCCCTTGCCAATGTCGGAGACGGTGCCCGTGCCAGGGAAGAAATCTCCGAACTTGTGGAAGGAACAGGTCATGACTCTGTCCGTGGTGTAGAACGCCTCTTCTACCCCGTCCCCGTGGTGTATGTCGATATCAACGTACAGGACCCTTGCGTGTACCCGTAGGAGTTCGAGTATTCCGAGGACGATATCGTTGACATAGCAGAATCCCGAAGCTTCGGTACGTTTCGCGTGATGTAGTCCACCGGCCCATGCGATGGCGATGTCTGAGTGGCCGGTGACGAGGGAGTGCGCCGCGGAGATCGAAGAGCCTGCAGTGAGGGTCGCAAAATCAAATAGGCCATCCCACGGAGGGCAGTCATCGGTCTGACAGACTAGGAGACATTAGCACCAGTTTAGTTGATATGTAGGATCTCATGTGCAGGTAGGAAGAATGCTGAGGACTCACACTTCTTGTTTGCCGTCCACTCCATATAGTTCTCCGCGGTAATAGTCTTCAAGAACTGGATATATTCGTCCGTGTGGAACCTTGTCAGATCAAGTTCGTTCGCCCGTCGGGGTCTGACGACCTGCATACGTCCAAGCATCCCGTATGAGCCGATCAACGCGTGTGCCATCCGCATGCGGTGCGGCTTCATGGGGTGTTGGTAGGGGTAAGCGAAACCTCCAACATCCGGGTCATAGAAGTAGGACACGCGACGTGGTGTATGAGGAAGCTGGAGGTCGTCCATTGCGGGAGTGGGGGAGGTGGACCGGTGCATTTTGGACAGGTAGGAAGGATTGAGGGTGAGTGTGGGCACAGAGGGTCGCGCAAGCGCGACAATGAGGTTGACTTTGTGGAAATGGGCTGCTACTGTCTAGTAGTGCAATGGATCATGAAGGACGTCAAGAAGCACAGAATGGACGACGAGCAAGCAACAGAAGGCAGTGACAACAAGGCGGCGGACGTCCAGAGGCGCAACACAAAATCCGGATATTCTATCGGCTCCGAAATGATTTACGAGACCTCCGCGAGGTCAGGGTCCTCGCCGGCAATATCCGTGCGTCACCCATGCCAATATGGAGGAAATTGCATTCCCGGAGGGAACAGATAGGCAGCAAAAAGATCGATGATCAAAATTATTCTCTTCGCAATACAACAAACCCTAATATGGTACCCTTGTATATTTCAACACTGTCCCGGAGTTATGACATCGCCCCACCCAAAAAAATACTGTCAATCCCGAGAGGGCCCAAAAACGACCCTGGGAGGTCAGCGTAAGGCTAGCTCATACCATTCTGCCCATCAGCATCTTCCTCACCCTCCGCGTCCTGATGAAAAGAATGGACGTCTACATTCTCCGGTGGAGCCTTGCTGCCATTTACGATTCCGGCTGAATTAGCCAATGCTTGAATTTGCGCCTGCGCATAGGCGTGCGCAGCAGGAAAGAGCAGGACCGCAGGGTTAGGCACTTCTTCTCCCTTGTCACCGGCTGCCAGAGGGGGAAGAACCATCCTACCACCTGGAGTGGGGCTGCCCTGCTGAACAGGCGAATGTCCAGGAGAGGTAGATGCAGTCCCCAGCTGTGCGAGCAGTGCGCTGTGTGCAGTTGCGTATGAAGGGCCCGGACTTGCATGGGGCGGTGACGAAGAATCATGAGATTTGTTAGTATCGAACACCCCTATCGTCAGAAGGTTAACGACGCAGTGGCATGAGAAGCAACGGGACCATACCCAGCTTGCGAAGCCAGCGCTGTCGAACTTGATGGTAACCTCGACTAGGAAGGGCTTTCTGCACAAGGTCCCATTTCTGGCCGTATTTTGCAACCGCCTGTTCATGGCCCCCTCTATCAGTGATTGTTTCACACCTTCCTTTTTTGAAGGACGCACTTTTGTTAAAAGCTCATCTTCCTCTTTCGTCCACTTGACATACGGACTCCTCTGCCTTCGCGGCATCTCATTAGCGATCCTCGCTAGTTGGCCACGATCCGTGTGCACGGCTGCTGATGCCAAGAAAGCAACAGCGTCCGCAACATCTTTTTCCGTGACTTGCAGGTCGGGGTCTGACGAGCCGAGGGTGGCGGCAAGTATAATGGCGGCGGAGGAAGGGGACGAACTAGCGAGAGGAGGTGCGTTGTTGTGCTCTCCTGCCGACCCGGGAGGTGCAGTGTCGGGTATGCGCACAGGTGTCCCAGAGATGTCGATGACAGACTCGCGCGTGGGTCCATGTTCGGGCATCGACTGTTCATCATCCACAGCTTCCTGTTCCATCTCTAGCCCTACGTTCCCTTCTCTCTGTGGCGTCTGCGGTATCATAGCTTCCAGGACCGGTAAAACGGCCGCCTGTACCTTCCTTGGACTTTCCCGAGCTAACACTTCTGGGCTCCTCTTCCGCTTCCGCGGACTAAACCCCGCCTTCGGCGCCGGACTGGGCGTGACTGGTCTCCTCACATCACTCTCCATCGCCTGCATCCGTGCGATTTGAACAGGCGGGTCCATGACAAATGCCGGACCTAGGCTAGGTTGCCGTACGGTGGTGGTCTGGTGATGTGACGAAGATTGCGAGAGGGAGTGGGAACTATCTTGTGAATTCGAGCGGTGCGTTTCCTGTGAACCAAAAACAGCTTGCTCGGCAAGGACATCTAGTGCTGTCCTACTGCGGGTTGCGCTGCCTGAGACTGAAGCAGAGCCAGCAGCAGCGGCAGCCTCCTCCATCGTCCCCACCGTGCGGAATGTACTCTTCGTCGGGGTGGCATCGGTATCAAGTTCCACCCTCCTGCGCTTGTACGCAGGGGAAGCAGTACGGGGTGCATCGTCCAATTCCCTTGCGGCTGACAAAATTTGGTCAAGCCCCGGAGCCGCGGGCGCTGACTGCGGGACATGAATGGTATGACGCGGTGTCCGATGCTGCGGCACAGGAAATTCGCCGTCATCCGGCCTGACGCTACTGCTTGGTCCTGATGCGGCTGGGCCTCGGCGGCGGCGAGGTGTCTTGGGTGTTTGCGGCACGCCCGCGGCAACAGCGGCAATAGAGGAAGAGACGGTCTGTGGTACCTTGTCGAGGATATCGGTTATGAGCGGCGGGCCGAGTCGGCGGGCGGCGAGGAGAATGTGTTCTGCTCTAGCATCGGCCGAGATCGGATGCGAGTGGTGGACGGGTCGGGGTGACAAGGCTGTCGGCTTCTGTTTAGCTGGTGGGGTGGGCTTCAGCAGAAGCAGGGGACGGAGATCGTCCAGAGAAGCCTCAAGCACACTAATCCGCGCTTGACTGTCGGTGACCTGCGAAGATAGAAGAGGTTGATTTTAGTCACGTGATGCGCACGTATGCCTCGAGGTGCTTACCTGCTGTTTGAGCGCTCGCTTGTCCGATTGTAACGTGCGGATAACATGTTCGGCCTCCTATATCCGCATCAAAATCTGCTCTTATCAGTGTTGATTCATAAACACACCTCTGACAGCTTCTCGCCTTCCTCCACTCGTCTCATCCGCTCTCTTAGCGCATTGACAATCCTTTGCCAGCCTTGCTTTTCTGCCTCCCACTCCGTCCTCTGTGCCTCCGCGTGTGCAGCAAAGAAGGTACGCTGTGCGTGCACAAGTTGCTGTAGGTGGGCGATACTCTGTGCTTGCGAGGCGAGTGCGTCTTGTTGTGCTAAGTGGATGGTGGGGTCGGTAAGTCGAAGCACCTATATGGGATGAGTATGGACCCGAGCACTACACAAAAGAAACTGCACCATCTCTGCTAACTCGTGTTCTCTTGATGATTTCTTGCCATTGACCGCCTTCGCATATCCAAATTCCTCGACCCGTCTACGCATCCTCTCCAACTCTTCCTCCCCTAATACCCCCTTCTCCACATCGCCCTCGTCGGTATCGCCACTGTCGAGGTTCAAAATGTCCTCTTCGGCTAGGATTTGTGGTTGTTGTGGTATGTGACTTGTAGGGTGTGAATGTGGAGGAAGAGAGATGGGAGCGGACAAGCTCTCCTCCGCGAGGCTGATCCAAAGTTAGCGAGACCAATCCTATAGCGCCGTGGCAACGTACAGATCGTCCAGCTCCGCAGTAGTAATTTCTTCAGCCGTGGTGACGAATCCAAAGTATTCAAGTTGGTGTATATGTCGCTGTTAAACGGGCGGATAGATGTATGCCCAATACGTTGTGGTATGCAGTAGATGAAATGAGAAATGTGCGACTGAACTCTGAATGCCCAACGGCACAATATGTCGGGCGGCGCTGCACGCAGAAGTCAGCCGTCACGTGCAGACATGGCAAGATTGGCTCCGTACGGATGCTGATTGCCTCCTTCTACCATATTTAGTAATCCCCGTACCTTGGTCATTCTTTCCTTTTCTGGTCGATATTATTATTAATAATATAACAATGACTTCTACCACGACGTTCGACCCAGCACCTGTCCTTAATTATCTTTCTCTCCCTTCTTCTTCATCTCCTTCGCCAACATCCCAGCCTCTTCTGTTCCTACGGCAACATCTACCTCACTTACCGCCCTCACATGCATCAGCATTCTCCAACCTCCTCACCCCCGCCGAACGAGCAGCACTCCCGCTCATCAGGGCACGTCGGCTGGCATACGCACTGCATGATCCTTCTCCACACCAGCTTACCTGGTCACATGCTGCTAGCCAAGAACCAATGCTCTGGACAGCCCATGGTGGTCCTTCGTCCGGCCTCTCCCCTGCTAGACTGGGTGAGAGGGAGGCGCAGGAAGAGACGGAATGGACGAAAAGTGAGTTCATTGGACGCCGAGGCCCTGGAGGAGGAGGAATGATTGGGAATCTGGGGAGGTTGCTGGGTGAGTTCGAGGGCGAGAGGGTAGGAGAAGCGGAAAGGGTTGCTAGGATAGAGCGAGCAACTCGTGCTGCTTCTCGAGTAGAGCAACATGGAGAACAAGAAGATGAGGATATGGACTCTCTGAGCGAACACGAGACGTCTTCGGAGGAGGAGGGTGGGATGACAGCGGCAGATGCAGTGAAGCATGCCTTCGAGCGGGCAGTAAGGGAGCGCTTCGTGGAGGGATTGCTGGAGTGGGCAGATTATGTCTGTGATTGGGAGACAGACTGCGATGGTGAATGGGAGAGGGATGGTGAAGAGAGGTGGTTTGACCAAGAGGAGGAGCAGGGAAGAGGGGAAGGAGATACGGGGGAGTTGGATTACTAGCCTCCTGGGAGACCCAACGACCAACAATGTATCGATAGAAACTGTAAACTCTCTATTCATGCTCAAGATGGACAATTTCTACAGCACTGATCTCACATGATACATACGGGTACATTGTACGTCTACAGCTCGTACCCAGGAGGAGCGTCCTCATGCACAGCATGAGAGCTCCCCGTCGGTGCCGTTCCGGAAGCTCCCACAGGCGGGGGTGGGGCTTCGTACATCGCTGTGGCTCACATGAGTACAAGGTGGATTGTGTAGAGGTGAACCAAGACCCACGCAGTCCTTCCTCGCCCCTTTCTCTCTCACGGTTAATCGATCTCTCCCTTGCAGCCTCCAGCACTTTGACAAACTCGAACACACCTCTGTCCTTGAACCGCACCTCCGCCTTCGTACCCTGTGTGAGCCCACCACCGGTCGTAGGGGCAATAGAAAGGATGACATGGTTGGACCCGAAGATAGGTTGCTGGAAAGAGGTTGAGAGGATGGAGTTGTGTGGGAGTGACAGGGAGTGATACGGCACATCCTTGGCCTGAATGGGAACAAAGATCACCTGAAGTGGACCGAAACTTAAGTCACAAAATATCCACGTCTACAGTAGGAGTAAACATACCCTGTGATCCGACACCCACACCGTTCCGGTCGCCACGCTCCTCTTTGGGTTCCCACCTGCGCCGCCCGCACTCTGGGCGCCCGAAGTGGGTGGGGGCGCATCTGGCACCAGCAGGGTGAACTCGGCGCCTGAGAGGTGTAGGATCATTTCCTCCTCGGGGAGAGGGATTGGTTGGCTGTTAGCCGGGTCGAGCATTGCCCAGTTGAGTGACATCTTGCTGCTGCTTTTCCTTGCTGCACCGAGAGCCTTTTAACTTTGGACTCTGCTTGTATGTGGGAGTTAGATAGTGGTTGTGAGAGGCCCACAAAGATCAATACAAGTACAGTCACGGCAATCAAAACACGGGCGGTGGTTAAGGAGCCCCTGTTGGCGTCTGAATAGCGCCGCCTTGCCCTAGACACACGCGGCCAATCATGGACCCGCACTGCTTTGGACGACAATGACGAGATAACCAGTGACGACCACCAGGATTGCCGTCAGCGACCATGAAAGCGAACTCATTGTTGCTCCCAATGCTGGCTGACAATAGGCCAAGAAGGAGCGAACAAGTGCGTAGCCACGCTCAGTGTGGAATGCAGGCACCGCTTGACCAGTGCTCACCACTACCAACGAATGCTCAACGTCCCCTATGGTCCTCGGTTGACCCAACTGCATTCCAAACGAGTTCTTCTATGGCTGTCCCTCTGAGCTGTAATCAGCGAAGAGCATGCGATAATCATTTGTTCTGCGATGCTGAAGTAGCTAGTCTTGCAGTCAAACCGCCTCTCCTTGTGGTGGAAGAAGCTTCTGAGTAACCCCTTTCCGCCCCCTCTCCCGCAACGCCGATGATACAACTCTGCGGTTCCGACATCTTCTCTCGGATAACCTTCTGCTGGCTTGTATTACGTCTTTGCTGAATGGGATTGGTGAACTGGGCTGTATGTGACTACCCGCCACGTCCGCACTCGTCGTCCGAACCAGCCAAGCGCGGCTCGCCGCCTCCAGAGTCGGCTTGTGTCTGAGACCAGCCTTCTTCCTTTGGCCCCTGTTCGCTGGTTGCGTACTCATCTGCCGCTTCCTGTTGTTTATTCCTAGTATGCTCTTCGCACGACTATATAAGGCCAGTGATTCGTACAAGGGCACATGCACCGACCCCGCCCTGTGAGCGCAGCCTCGGGCGCCCCTTTCCCTCCTTCCCCTGTTTCTCCTAACAATGGATCCCACATCTACACACCGCCATGGTCGGCTTTACTTTATGGCCTGATTCTTAATCGCTAATGCTGGACGTGTTCCACCCTCTTCACCGGATGAAATCTCTACCCAACTCGGCTTTTCACCGCGTCAGGTGCTGGAGTCTGTTTCGTCACTAATTGCTCTCCACCATCATGCATTAATTATCGCATCCCAGCTCTGGTATGCTCTCCTCTGCGAGCAGCCGATGATATGTAGCTAACATGATTTCCAGTTCCCTAATTGTACATTATAATCGGTCTGATCCACGCAAACCCGCACGATCGCACTCTCTTACGATTGACTGTTCGATGACACACGCACACGGATATCCCCGTCATAATCCTCCAAACTTCACCCCCAACTATTGGATACGACGCAATCTAATAAGACACCTCTGTGCCCCTTCTTGGCTCGGCCGTCTCTGTGAAACGACTCTTCCTTCTGGCATCACTCACACTGCTCCTATTTATGATGAACTGGCGCACCAATTTGTAAATAAGTGCGTTTATCCTTGACTTGCATCCTTTATCATTCTGACACAAACATCCATAATAGCGCACGGTTCTTGGAAAAACGAAATTCACCAAATCAATTGCCAAAGTCATGCCCTTCATCCTTCTGCCAGCCCGGATCTGGCAGTCTTCCAAATGACCCCGACCGCGACACGAATCAACTACGCTTTATGCCCTCTGTTCACGCCTATGTTCAACTAATCGCAGCGCCGTCTTTACGACTCATACACGTCCACAGCTCTCGGTTTGCCAATCGCCCATCTCTCCGGTCCCCCGCTCACGCACCCTTGTTCAAACATCTCCAGTTTCTATCGTTATTATCTATTATTTTGATCTTCATTTGACAGGGGACTTGTGGATTGTGTGCATCATGTTGTAAATACACGTTGCAAGGAAACAAAATCAATTACCAAATATATGTTATGATCCTGATCGTTGTCATTTTCAGGTTACGGGGAATCTAGCGGGGTATTCGGCTCCGCAGACCCTGGCCTACGAGAGTCGTTCATCCTTCCCTCGCCCCATACCAACGACCACTGGGGCCATGGCTCCGCAAGAGGGTCACGGAGGGTTACACGAAGACGACCGACCGTCGGTAAAGGGACCACCTGATGACGGCGAGCCTATTCATGATCTGGAAGTCAACGGCGACTATGCGGACAGCACGGAGGAACACATGACCGTGGATGACGCGCCCGCCCCCGATGTCGCCAGCGTCCTGTCCAATGGTCATGCGAATAAAGGTGCCAGTGTGAACGGAGACGAGATGTATCAGAACGGAAGGCAAGAAGTTGAAGAGGATGATCCCGAGGATGTGGAAGAGGAGGGAGAAGATGGCGACGAAGACGGAGAGGAGGAGGAGGAGGAGCCGACTCTCAAGTACGAGACTATGAAGACGCCTGCATTTGATTTCCTGCAGAAGGAGACCATATCAGCGATCTACGTCTCGACAGAATTTATGGTGAGCTCTTAGTTAACCCTCTCTTAACACGCAGCTAATGCATGATCAGACACTGGGCACACACAACGGCGTAGTGCATGTCATTGACCACAAAGGCAACAATATCAAGGCCTATCGCTCTCACAGTGCGACCATCAGTGGAATCGACGTGGACTACGAAAATCAATTCATTGCGTCCGCATCCGTAGACGGCAAGGTCATCATCCACTCCCTGCATACGCCGGAAAACTACTCGTTCGACTTCCGTCGGCCGATGCGCACAGTAGCACTCGAACCAGGATTTGCGCATAAGAATGGGAGGCAGTTCGTGTGTGGTGGGATGGCAGGGACACTACTGCTGCATGATAAAGGGTGGATGGGGCACAAGGCGCAGATTCTGCACAGTGGAGAGGGTCCGATCTGGGAGACCAGTTGGATGGGTAACCTGATTGCCTGGGCCAATGATCTGGTGCGACCTCAGTACACCTTCAATATGTCATTGCAAGTACTGAATAACTTTGCAGGGTGTCAAGATTTACGATACTGCCTCCCATTCGAGAATTGGATTCATCGACCGCGCCGTTGACGCACCAAGAGCCGACCTCTTTAAATGCAACCTCCGCTGGCGCGATGAACAAACACTCCTGATAGGCTGGGCAGACCACCTCAAGGTTGCCCGCGTCCGCCAGCGACCAAACCCACCGCCGGGAATGCCACCGCTGATGATTGAGATCACCTCCCACTTTGCTCTCGATTACATGGTCGCAGGGATTGCAAGCTACCAGAATTCCTACCTGATCCTCTCGTATATCTCTCCCGATACCTACATGGAAGAGGAAACAGAAGACCGCGAGCGGCAAAGGCGAAAGGCGGCGCTTCCACCTGAGATGAACTTGATTTCCCGCTCCGGAGAACAGGAAGCGTCTGATGTCCTAGCCATCCAGGGGTACGGAACATACGGGTGCAATGATTACGCGCTTGGTCCTTCAATCAAGGAGAAGGATCCATTCTTCGTTGTTATGAGCCCAAAGTCCATCATCGTCGCCCGACCCAGGGACCGGAGTGATCATGTCGACTGGCTGGTAGAGAAACGGCGGTATGCCGAAGCTCTGGATGAAGTGGAGAAAATGGGGGAAACGAGGGAATGGAATGTTGTCAGTGTGGGAGAGAAGTTCATTGAAAGCTTGGTGGAGGAAGGACAGTTCGATAAGGCTGCCGAGTTGTGTCCGAAGGTCTGCAGGGATAACGGGAAGGCATGGGAGGACTGGATTTTCACCTTCGTGCAAAAGGGTCAATTACCAGTAGGTGTCGAGAGTTCGTTTACTATCGTAACTACGCTCACATGCGTTCTAGGCTATCGTTCCCGTTATACCCACTCAAGAACCGCAGCTATCTCATGTTGTGTACGAGATGGTCCTAGCTCATTATCTTGCCAATAATCGAGACGAACTTCTGCGCACAATTCGCACCTGGCCCCACGGGATATACGACAGTTCGGCCATCGTTGTTGCGGTTCAAGGCGAGCTCGAGCACACACCGAGTTCAGCTATCTTGATGGAGTGCCTCGCCGAGCTCTTTATCCAGAATCGTCAACCGGGAAGGGCCCTGCCCTACTTACTTCGACTGAGGAAACCGAACGTAATCGACCTGATTAGAGAATACAATCTATTCTCGGCTGTCAAGGATCAGGTCCTGCTACTCGTCGAATTTGATCAAGATCTAGAGCAGAAGTACAGGGTGCAAGGAGAGGGAAGCATGGCATCGGTGCTGCCCAGACGAAGCGCTGCAATCTCGTTGCTAGTAGAGCATACAGATTCTATTCCGGTATGTCAATTCTCGTGCACAAGGAATGCTACTGATTGTGACTTTGTGTTAGATCCCACGTGTGATACAACAACTTGAGCAAAGAGCGTCATTCCTGTATCTGTATCTCGACGCGTTGTTCGACCGTGATCCGCTCCTCACGTCAGACTACGCTGATCGTCAGGTACGACCTTCTGCCTGACTTGGCGGCATAACGTCTCACATAACACATAGGTGCAGCTATATGCAGAATTTTCCTACAAGCGCCTTATGGATTTCCTCCGGGCGAGCAACTACTACAGCTTGGAACGCGTAAGACCCCTAAATATTGCATCCCATTCGCCCCTAACACATTTGATAGGCATATCGAATATGTAAGGAACGAGATTTTGTACCTGAACAAGTGTTCTTGCTTGGCCGCATGGGTAACAACAAGGCTGCACTGAACCTCATCATCGAACGTCTGGGCGATGTCACTCGAGTATGTCTAATACAACTTATGACATAATCTCCTGTTCTGATCGGATGTAGGCTATAGATTTTGCGAAAGAGCAAAATGATGAAGAGTTGTGGGAAGATCTTCTGAAATACTCTGAGACTCGACCTGGTGGGTACTCGTAAGATGATGTTATTTCCCCAGCTAATCCCTCGATCAGCTTTCATTCGTGGCCTCTTGGAGAACGTAGGTGCCGAGATCAATCCTGTACGACTGATACGACGCATTCGAAACGGACTTGAAGTGCCAGGCTTAAAGAGCGCACTGATTAAGATTCTACAGGATTTCAACTTGCAGGTGTGTTACCAGTCATCCTGGCCCTGCCTCTATGTGCTCACAGTGTTTGAAAGATTTCTCTGCTGCAGGGTACACAGACTATTCTCTACAGCGATTGTACGGATCTGGCTCGGCGGCTCCAAAGCAGTCAAGTGAGTGGAGCCTTCTGTAGCGGTGCGTCGAATACAGGAATCGCCTAACTCGTCGGCTCATCCCCATCATAGCGACCATGACGTGCCCCATATGCGATCTTCCCCTATTTGTCGCTCCTACTCCAAGTGCCGAAACGCAGCAGTTGGCCTTGGCATTCTTGTGCGGTCACATCGTTCATGCCACTCATGTGAAGGGAGCGAGTGAACTTCCGGCCCAACAACCCGAGATCATTAGGGGATTCCTGGGAAGTCAAGCTCGAACACAGGATAGACTTGGACAAAAATTAGCCTAGTAAGCGCTGCAGCAACTGCCTCGAGGGTACATTGCTGATAGGTGTACAGTGCCACTGTAGTCCGAGGAAGACTGGAGGAAGGTTGTCCTGTATGCCACCAAGCCGAGGAGGGCGAAGAGGAGAGTCCTGCCTAATATTCCTTTCGTATTCTATCCATATCGATTCCCGGAACATGCATACCCTTCGCATCATCGCAGTTGTATTTTATTGCTCACCTTAAACGTCAAAGTCGGGATTTTGTTATGCATCAGTCATGGACTGTCCCAGCTATCGCACAGCTGATATATCGTCGAAGGGTTTTATTCCAAGATCTAACGAAGCAGAAATGCAAAATTATACAACACAAGTCCGTGAAGTCCGTAGGATTACGATGCGAAAGACACAACAAGGCGCGTCACAATACGCGGCCGGAGTCCAATGACACATCGAGCATACCGGGTCGGCTCCTTCATTTCCATTCAGAGATATTTTCAGTTCGAGTTCTTCGCCATCGTAAAAACGTCGTCGGGCGGTCATTAATTGGGTAGGGCACGAAAGATCTATGCGTCAAGATAGAACTTGACCTGGACGAAGTTGTTGCCGGAACCGTACTCGCTGATGAGCTTGCCAAGGTCACCGGTGAAGCCAAACCAGTAATAGTCGGTGTCCCAGAAGAGGGTGGAGGGCACGGAGCTGCCGTCGGTGTTAATCCATGCTGCGGTGAGCTCAGTGGTCTTCGAGTTGTACTTCCAGACGGAGGCCTCGATCAGCGTCGGGTCGTCCGTGATGACGTCGTAGTAGTTGTCGCCAACTGCGGGTTTCGCGCCGGAGTCGGTCCAGGCAGTGGGGCCGATGAGACCAAAGTTCTCCGAGCCCGCGCCAATGTCAGGCTCGTCCTCCTCTTGGATGAAACCAACGTAGCAAGTCTTCTTGTCGGGGCCATTATAGGCCTTCAGGGCAGAATGGTCTTTCGTTATGCAAGGGATGGAGACTTTGAGAGCCTGTGACTTGTCCATCGTCGTTGTACTGTAACTATTGCTTATGTCAGGGAGGCGACATGAAGGAGAAGTTGAGCTCGTACACTCCGGTAGCGTTCATCACCGTTGCGGAGAGCCACCCGGAGGGCCCCTGGCCTACTGAATACACGCTAACGAATCCGGAGCAAACAGAGGTAGGTCCAGATGAAGGGCTCGGGCTGGGAGAAGCAGAATGCCTGGAAGCGAGGACCTTCGTGGGCGCGTACAGAGACTTGGGCTTGAGAGGGGCGAGGTTGGCTGCGAACCGTTTGGCGTTGGTCCAACCTTCCTCGAGCGTCCACATCACCGGAGGGACTGCGAGAGCGCTGACATACGTCGCCAGTAGGAGCAGGATTACAGCCCGGAAGTTCATCTTGGTAAAGGCCGGTTAAGGTTGGCGGGGCGGGGCGGGGGCCGGGAAAATCAAAAGAGAATGCAAGAGAGGAAAGACGGTGAGCCTTTCCTAGGATATCTTCCAGTTTCATTTATATCTCGCACTCCCATTGGTTTCATGGGGCCACGAGGAAGTACAAGCAATTTATCCAGCCACTAGCGCTGCCAGCCATCCTTGACGTGCAAGTCCAACGTCGTACCCTCCATTGTAAGACCCTGCTATGAAGCGGAAGCATTCTACCATCTAGCATTTCCATAAAAGGCAGGTGACGGCATCGGCCAGAATGAAAGCGGGTGCACAGAGATGGCAGGACAACGCACGAAGCATCGCTTGGCTGTGAGTACGTATGCCGTAGGACACGGGAGTCCGAGATGCCGGGGTGGCGTTCGCATCAGGCATGGATTCAACCCGAAGAAAATCCTTGACCCTGTTTCTGCCCGCCGTGCTGGATGGCTGGAAAGAGGATGTCTGCCGCGTGATCGCCGCTTGATATTATCGAAAACACGCAGACGGGTGATCAAAAAGAGCTAGTTGACCATTCTTTGAATACGGCATGTTGGCGCTACTTTGAGGTATGCCGAAAGGGTTTTCAAGTATGCAGACAGACCCCAAACAAAGGCTGACCCTAGTATTCACAACACTCTTCAACCATCTCAAGCGCGCAAAGTCAGGTCGCAGTACATGGCAGAGACTCAGAACAGGAGCGCCATACGACCAAGAGACTGGAGGGCTGGCCATTGACGTCATTGACACGTGCTGTAAGTGGCAGGCACGTTACCGCACGTGAGCGTTCCTTGGGACGGCTGGTACTCTTGTGCAGAGGTGACAGTCCAAGAGCAAAGCATCGAGAGTGAGGCAATCGAAAACGAGTTCCGATGCGAGCATGAGGAGGCTTGTGGTCGGCGCCGTTCGGTGGCCGGTCCACCGGAGAGATGCAGGTCAGGGAAACTAGGGTGAGCAAAGCCCCGAGGTCGTCGACTAGAATATAGAATTGGGATAGCGTATTGAGCGGCCCGCCGCAGATAATATCAGTTGAGATATTGCTCGGCATACCGAGAACTTCGAGGTGGTCGTCGTCAAAAGAGCTAAAAACATGTTGGACCCTTCTTCCTTTGCGCAGTCAGCAAGTACGCAACAATGTGAAACATTCTCTATGCAACTTTGTCAACAATGCCTATTCCCTTCGACCAGTTTGAAGAGTTCTCTCTACCGGTCTCTTCGCCTCCATCTCATCCGACTCAACAGATCGTCATTCATGTCGTCCGTGCTGGGTCCGGTCCTCCCATGCTGCTCCTGCATGGATCTCCGGAGACGTCTTATATGTGGCATCTAGTCGCACCGACTCTGGCCGACCACTTCAGTGTGGTTGTTTGTGATCTGAGAGGATATGGAAAGAGCAGTAAACCTGAGGTCGACCCTGCGCAAGATAAGCAGCACGAGCTCTACAGCAAGCGGGAGATGGCGAGGGACAATGTTGAGGTCATGTGCGTGCCGTGCTTTGACATCGCATGAGTTCTATGCTTAATATTATGCAGGAAGCAACTCGGGTTTGATAGCTTTTACGTTCTTGCCCACGATCGTGGTGCACGCGTGACGCATCGTATGGTGTTGGATTATCCCGGCGTGGTCAAGAAGTTCATCCTGCTCGACATCGCGCCTACCCTCGCTATGTATGAAGGAACGAACATGGCATTCGCGACCGCATACTACCAGTACGTCCCTTTCACCTATGTCCGATCGCATCCCATTAATATCCACTACAGCTGGTTCTTCTTCATTCAGCCAGCTCCATTTCCCGAGATGCTCCTCTCCTCCTTCCCGGAGGCGCTCGTATATAAGTCCTTCGTCCGAGACGGACATCCGACGCCTGATCATCCTAATCTACAAAAGTACGACACAAAGGCGCTTGCTGAGTATATCGAAGCTGCCAAGACACCGGGGACGATTCACGCTATTTGCGAGGACTACCGCGCCAGTGCGGGGATCGATATCGAGCGGGATCGGGAGGATCTAAGGAAAGGAACAAAAATTGGAAGCCCGATGAAGGTCTTTTGGGGTTCTAAAGGTATTATTGGCAAGAATTGGGATCCGATCATGGAGTGGACGAAAGTCTGCCAGGGGGGGATATTCATAGGTGGAAGAGAGATCGATAGTGGGCACTTCATCCCCGAAGAGCAACCGGGGGAGATTATTAAGGAAGCCATGGATTTCTTCAAAGAATAGGTAAAGAGAGAGGTTTGAATTAATATTCATCAATACACTGTTGATGAACATTACTAAATAATATGATGCAAATTAAAGAATGCAGAGAAGGGCCGGCTCAAAATTTAGACGATAGATCTCTGCGGCAATCACGTCCGCTCCTGCACCAGTTCGACGGCCACCCTGGATCAACGACCTTGACGTCATCGCCATTCCCTCATTCATCCAGATGGCAATCGCCCCGGCCTCAGTTCTCACCGGCAATGCACCAGAAGCTATGAAGGCAGTAACCGCCTTCAAGTGGGACAATTGGCTTGGTGGACCAGCGGCTCCAGGCTACGGACGGGACATCCGCCAGGGACTGCGGTTCACAGAACTCAACCTTAAGGAGGACGTGGAGTCTTCTGTCGGGAAGTCCAATGACCCAGGGAATGGCAGGGTGCGAAGGATAACAGAGACGGTGCATGAGATGACTGTGACGGAAGATTGCTTGAATGGAATGGGCTTCCTGCATGGCGGATGCACGGCATACCTGATCGATACGTGCGTACTATATCCGAGGCCAGCATGCCGTTCTAAACCTTTTGAAAAGTTGCTCGAGCATCACCTTGACCGCCCTCGATCCACCCGACTACAGCATCCCGCCAACCGTCTCGTTGAATCTCAATGTGACATACCATGCTGCCGCTTCCCTGTACGCTCCCTTCCATTGTCGACACAATCCTCTTCCCGCTCATCGCGTAACACAGAGGCGCTTCCCTTCGCATAATATCCACCGTTGTCTCCTTCAGCACACGCGTTCAGACCGTCCGCTGCGAAGTGTGGGACGTCACCAACCCGACCCACAGACTCGTCGCAAGCGGGATGCATATCAAGATGCGCTCAGGGAAGGAGGGCGATCCGAAGGCTCAGGAGTGGAGGAAGGAGGTGTATGGCGAGGACATGTGGGCAACAAATGCACAGAAGGCGAAGCTATGATGTGATGGACGTCGGGCAATGGAGCCAAGAGCACTTCCGAGGTGACTCTTCACCTTTACCGTCGAAGGCATCAAGCGCTGGTGGAAGCATGCCCTTGCCCATGGCGCCTCAGCCCGCAAAGAACGTCAGGAAGAACGTCAAACAAGCTGCTGATGTTTGATGAATAGGTTCGGACGGCCTAAACTACGGCGGTCTTGACTCTACGTTCACCGTTCACGACCAATTAGTTGGATTCCCATTGTAGGCTACTCGACGGTGGCTGAATATGCTGTAATTTAGGTCTCGCATTAATAGCTCTTACTCGAATTGAGAAGTCATCGAGGGATTGACGGGATATACCAGCCACCTTCAGTCGTCTGGCCTGGTGCCGAGGAGCGGATGGTGTGCCGTTGCGGACCTCTGCCATTGCAAGAAATGAATAGAACGGAACAGATGGATGATACAGATGATCATATCAATGCAAAATGCTGCTGCTGCTACGTCTAGAGGTGAAGATCCTGGATGCGTGCAACCGAACAAGGCTGGAATACATGATATAACAGGTCGTGAGGGTAGTGAGAGAATGAGCCAGGTAGAGTGACACGCGGGCATCGCTGGTGACCGCCGCAGACGAGGATGTGAATCGACGCTATAGCAGAGGCACAGGCAGGTGGAGGAATAAAAGGCGTATTTACACCCGCCCTCTCGAAGAGTTCTTGCTGATCAGCTTTGCCTTCTCGATTTCCTTCATACCTATGCACCAGTCAGTAAATTCTGGACCTCGGGGAAAAGGCGACGTACTCTTGGAGATCAGCCCTTGCTTGTAGTCTCGAATGTTGATGTCCATCTTGGTAAGGTTCTTGATCGTCTGGTCCGCGACCTCCCACAGCTCCTCCGCGACTTGCTCAATGAGTCTGAAGTCGTGACTAACAATGACCACACCACCCGAGAACTCCTTGATCGCACGTGCCAGAGCGTCAATGGAACCCATGTCCAAATGGTTCGTCGGCTCATCCAGGAGAATGATGTGCGGGTGCTCCATCGCCAATTGAGAGAAAACGACACGGTTGCGCAGGCCGTCGGAGAGCTGCTTGATAGGACTCGTCTGATGCGCACCTGTGAGTCCGAACCGACCCAACTGCTGCCTCCAGAACATCAGGTCCTTGTCCGGGAACTTGTCGTGATAGGTGCTGTCAAAGTATTCCAGAGGTGACTTGTCGTACGGCAACTGGTCGGCACTGTGTTGACTGTACTTAGCGAGCTTGAGCCCGACGTGCTTCGAGATTGTTCCTTCACAAGGCTGAAGCTGACTGGTGATGAGGTTTAGGAGGGTCGACTTGCCTGCACCGTTTGCACCGAGGATGGCCACTCGAGAGTCCATACTAGAACACGGTCAGACAGCAACTATCAGAGCACAAATGAGACTCACTCAATACCGAACGACAAGTTGCGATAGAGATAATCCTCCTTCTTTCCAGAATAGGAGAATGCGACGTCGCTAAAGGCGATGATAGGCGGTGGGAGCTTGCCCACGTCCTCAAAGTTGAATCTGAGCTGCCTCCTCGTTTCAATAGGCTCGATCAGGCCAGCAGCCTCCATCTTATCAATGATTTTCTGCTTGCTCTTGGCCTGCTTGACGAGGTTGGCATACGTACCCGCAGAAGCGATGAACTTCTTGATATGCGCGATTTCTTCCTGCTGCTTGTTGTACGCCTTCATCTGGTTCACCTCGTTCTCCGTCTTCGTCCGCACGTACGTAGTGTAGTTACCCGTGTAGTACACCATCTTCTTCTTGGGCGTGAGCTCCATGATGTTGGTGCAGACCGAGTCCATGAAATCCTGACTGTGGGAGGTGATCACGAGGATGTGGTTGTATGTGCTGAGGTAAGCTTCAAGCCATACGACCGCACCAAGATCGAGATGGTTAGTGGGCTCGTCCATGAGGAGCAGGTGGGGCTTGATGAACAGTGCACGAGCGAGGGAGACTCGCATCCGCCACCCACCAGACATGTCCTTCGTAGGCCGCCGGGTCATCTCCTGGCTGAAGCCCAAACCATGCAGGATCGAACCAGCCTTGGACTCGAATGTCGAAGGATCAAGCTCCTCAAGCTCTTCGTTTAGCGCATCTAGTGCCAATTCATCTACTTCGTCCGCAGATGCAAGTTCCTCCATGCGCGCTTCAAGCTTGGCCACTTTTTCTTTTGCTGAGGCAATGATGAAGTCCATCGCATTGATATCGGATGGCTCAGCCTCGCCCCGGACGATATAAATCTGCAACATCATGTCAAAAGAGGATCCTTACAGAAGAAAAGCAAATCAAGCGCACATCAATATGCTCCGGAATCGCGATATCCCGCTCAGCGAGCGATTGCAAAAAAGTTGACTTTCCGCTCCCGTTCTCACCCAGAAGACCGTACCGCTGGCCATAGTTGAGCTGAATCTCGGCACCCTCAAAGAGCAGTCTCCCATGGAATGAGAGGGTATAGGAGTCGATCTTGATGTCCCTTCCCTTCGGATCAGAAACGAGCACGCCCGCAGCGCTCCGATCGGTGGCGATCTGCAGCTTGGCCATAGCGCTAATATCATCCTGACTGCCGTTGCGTGAGAGGTTGGTCGCTGGCGTCGTCGCAGAAGATCCGTTAACAGAGAGAGCTGGAGTGGAGGGGGAAGACTCGGTGGTGCCAGACTTTGAGGCCTTCTTTGCGGCGCGCTCTGCCAACCGCTTTTGCTTAGAGTTTGAAGGTGCCATTATAAATGGTAAGATGGGAAAGCGGAATTAAGGAAAGCAAAGTGAAAGTTGATAAGATGGTGGTAGGGAAACAAGATGAGCAAATTGGGTGTGCCCAGTGGCGGTTGGCGCGCGGTCAATGTTTCGAATATGATTGAACGGTCATTTTTTATGACGGGTCTCGGGACCTTTTTGACTTTTTAGGTGGTCAAGACCCACAAGACTTGGATAAATATCATCAATGACCTTCGCTGGACACGTTGTCGTGAGTCATCTTGCACATTACAACTTGCCAACCATAACCTTTCCCCGATCTACGAGCATATCCTCTGTCCACCCGCGTCGATCATCTGCCTTCGCCAGCCATGGCATCTGCAATTGTGTGACCCGTGCCTCAGCAACCTTCGTCTGTCCCTTGGGGAGAATCTCCCACACCTCACAGAGGACACTCTGCATGCGCTTGTCACTTGAAATTGTGGACGAAACGATCCTGAGTGACGATTCTCTGTAACACTGGTTTGGATTTGGCAAATAAACCCTTGACACAAGCTTACTCACGTTGATGGGGAGGAGTGTACGTCAAGATTGAGCGCGACCGTTTTACTCGGTATAGAACCCTCTGTTGGCAGGTCGAGTGCATGCCCTGCCAAGTTTGAGCATCTATGAAGAAAATAGTAGGCACCTAAGCAGGGTTGCATTGGGCACGGCATACAATTCGACCAGCAACGTCAACCAAGTGCGTGACAACTTCCCTTCCCCATCGGTCATCTCCCCACGCACAACCACCTCATGTATTGCGACTGCCTTGCGGCCATCCGCCTGATCCTTCCCATGGGTGTCGTAGATTTGCAAGGCAGCTAAGTGCAGATTCTGAGAAACCACTTCCCGCAAATTGGTGGGGGTGGATTCTGCCAAGATGCGCGCCCAGAGAGCTCGGGCTTCCTTCGAAGTCTCTTGGCTCTTAAGTGCAGGTGAGATCGTCATTGCAAGTCAGGTAAGGAACAACTCAGGCCGACAGTGCATTCCATCTGCGGCACCGTTCTCCTCAGCATCCCGACAAAAAAGGCCACAGGCTGTCTGCCACCGACAACCCTGCCCCTGCCCGGTCCCATCAGATACGAGTCTCCGAAGATCCGAAGCTGTCCCTTCTTATTTCCTTCTCTGAGTGGACTGGCAACTGCTACTCTGTTTGAGCATCTACTTTATTCCGATGATATTTCCCCGAAATTTAGCAGAAGTTGTGGATTCGGTTCAGGAATGATGACCGGTGAGTTATATAGCATATGTGTACAGGTCTCCGAGTAAGGGCACCATTCACGTTCCTCTCGAGATGCCTAATTCCTGTAGTTGCGTTCTACGTCTTCTTCAACTTCAGATCACCAGTATATGATCCTGGCATTATACAGGGAGTGATCAAAAACAAGGATTGTGGAGTGGTGCGAGATCAGCATTCGTAGGGTCATCTTAGCATTCTCGAAGGTAAATCGACTGCGTGTGGGCAGTCATTGGGACGTTAGATATCCATATGCTGAAGGTGACAGGAGCAACATATAGATGGAGCAATATAGTCAGGATAATATAATGGTTTTGGACAGAACCGATCACAGAAACGAAGTCAGTCGGCTTCGGAATCGGCTTCGGCTTCGTTCCGTGACTGGAAGCAAAGCCCGCTTGGATGTGTGGTGAGAGCCGCCAGCCGTCACTCTTGCCTCCTTCCTCTTCATCCCTCCCATCTCCATTTTGAACAACTTCGTCAACAACTTTTGGGCAATGCGTCAAGATGGATTAAAGTTCCCTCTTTGGGTGTGGACTTGTGCACCTTCGAGCTTGACTTCGACACGTGTATGCGCGCAACTCGTTCCAATCGGGCTTAGACATGCCCTGCTTCACACCAAACAGTCATTCGACCCAATTGATTTTTTTGCGTTACGTACAATGAGACAGGAGGATTACTAAAGGTTACAATGGTGAGTGGAGTTCTCGAACATCGGTCGAGTCGTTAATGGAAGTACAGTACGGTACTACAGAAGATCGTTACACGGTACCAGGAAGAGGAAGATCAATGTTCAAATTGGGTAGATGTGGTGGCAAGGTCAGAGGCGCCATTGCAAGGCCATCTCTGCCCGGTGGGCCATGAGAGCCCTACCAAGGAGGTTGTTGTCGTCTGTGTCGCCATCGTAGAGCTCTACGTTGCCAGTCGCGAGCTGTGGCGAGGTGAGCATATATGCGTTTTTTATGACGGAAACAGCTCACCAATTCTTTTTCGAGAGGAGGATGCTGTGCCATCTTATGGCGAATGATGTCAAACATGATCCTCTCTTTCTCCAGCTCCCAGTTGGGGCGCCAGAACCTGCGGTACTTCTCCGATTCCACCTTGGGGTTCGCGCTGTCCGCGATGAGCTTAAGAATAGGCGCGTTGTGTGCATTATCGTCGAATTTCAAGGAATGGAAGAGCTGTTCCGCGGTGTCATAGCCTTTCCCACGCCAGTCGACTGCGTGCCGTGAGCAGAGGCGGAAGTCAGGGTGCGGGTCCTCGTGCCCCAGCGTGCGCTGGAAGTCGCCGAATACGACTCTAATCGCGGACTGCGCGGAGTGAATGGGGAGGGGATGGGTGGGGAAAGCCGGGGAAGAGGCGAGAGACCAACATCTGTTTGACTGGGGGGAGGTCTTAGGAGGCGTGCGGAAGAGCGTTTCGGGGACCAAGGTCTGCAGCTCAGGCCCGGTTAGGGGGCGGGGACTGAAGTACACAGGTACGGGTGCAGGTTGGGGGACTGGGGGTTCCGGGGGGGCGAAGCGGACATGTCTATGCTCGTAGGGAGGATGCTGGACCTGGATGAAGGGGGATGCAAGAGCGGGTGCGGGAGCAGGTGTGGGGCCGGGGGTGAGGGCGTGGGCTTCGGGTGCATGGCGGAGTGCGAGGTTGAGGGCGTACGCGCCATTCGAGGGAGCCTTGCCAGTGGGGATGGGGCCGGGGGCGGGAGCGACAGGAGCAGGCTGGACGAGTGTTGCCCCCTGGGGAGAAACGAGGGGACGGGGAAAGGGGCCCCAGGGGTGGGGGTGGTAAGTGTAGGCCATTGTGAGTACCGGGGGACGCGACGAGGGAGAGGGCGCTGGGGTTGATAAGGGCTCACTGTGAGTGATGTAACGAGGTTGTGAACGAGGTCGGAACACGTGAGGCGATGACCTGTTCGACGAGGGCGACCGTTGCTGTGAGGGAGAGGGCGTTGAAGGGTTGTTGAGAGATCTCCCCTAACCCCGTAACGCCCTTTTATCTGTTTCTTATGGCCGGAGAGATGACTAGGATGCTTCTACGCTAATACTTGACCGATCGGTAGGCACATGCTCAACAATGACCTTGTCAAGACGAGTCACAGCGCGACTCAAGAAGGAAACTCAGGGCACACTCTTACCCCCCGAATGCAGGCCTACGCCGTACGAAAATGACTACAACACTCGTACCTCTTCCAGTCATCCTACTTGGCCCTCACCGGGGGTGCACAGTCACAGAACGCATAAGAAGCAAACCGAAACTCTCGGGTTTTGCTCCTCGTCTCCCGCAAGCGAACACAAACTCAGGTGAACAACTGACCAACCGCGCCCTCGCCCGGCACAGTCAGTCTCGACCTGGCGCACAAGCTAGGTGTAAACCGCTCAGTCTCTTGTCGCGTCCTCCCTTTTCGGGTTCGCGTGTGATAGGGCCTGTGCTGCTAGCTCGAGGGTCCACGACTTACATCGGCACGTCTTGTCTTCTTCGGCGAGGTAATAAGAATTACCATTGTATTGTTCCTCCACATCCCTAATCTCACACCTGGACAACAAGTGAATCTGCCAGAACTTCTCGATCGCTCACTGCCCACGTCAAGCGAAGGTCTTTCCCGTTCTACACCCAGCAGACGCACAGGATATCCCCCTCCCCCAGCCAATCCCCAGTCTTCGTACCACGGTCGTCCGCTTCATTGCTTCTTCACTCGGGATCACGACCATACATGGCTCACGCCACACGGGGACAGATCTCTGATATCGCCCATCAGCAGAGTGCTTACACGTCAGCTTCAGTCAGCGCCAGGGCCGTTCCGAACAATAACCAGCTCCGATTATCTCTTGACTCCGTCTTGGTCAGAGCAAACAGAATGAAGTTATTATTGTCCCCGCTATTGTTCTACAACATTTCTGCGTGCGAGTGCAAGCCTCGGAAATGCGCAGCGGAATAAGCGCCCTGACCCCATCAACGCTGCGGCGGGAAATGCCGCTGTCCGGTGTTTTTGCTTTCATCTGCTTCGCGCGTCTCCGGGTTTCGGGACGTTCGCATCAATCAATGCGCCCCTATTAGGCCGATACCGCTGGATACCGCTCCTCCGCATCTCTGTGGAGCACAATAATCCGGAGAGGTGTGTCACCACTCGGCCTTTCACCGACCCAACGAAGAGTCACACAATAGACCTCCAAACCCGGCCATCACCGCGGCTTCCGTTGCTCAAACATCAAACCAGCTTACAACAACGCCCCTATCGAGCTGATTTTCGCACCCTCTTTCTCCTGGTCCTTGGACGCGGTGAGACATGACTCCCTTTGTCTCCTTTTATCCCCCATGAACCAGTACCACGCGTGCGGAAACCTCTCCCTTGGCACCAGAGGTTATCGGACCGCCTTCCAGATCGAGCGCGTTATCCCATGTATTATCCTTCCTCGATGGTTCCTCACGAGACTGCAGGGCAATCGATTTTCAGTTGATCGCGCAAATGTGCGGTTTTCTTTCTCTTGTCTCGTTCCACCATCACCTTATCAGTGTGGTCTGTTTAACGATACAACGGTTCCGTATTTCTATATCCGGATGTTCATCCTCTTGAGGTTGGGACGGTTTTGCCCGGCAATGAGACTACCGGATCACCGCGGAGCGTGTGCAACAAATCCGTTTCCTCCATGCTCGTCTTACACGATCACTACGTTTTTAGTAGTAATTCAGATCCTATCCACTTTACTGGAGCTTACCTACTTCTCTAAGCTACACATGTGCGGCGAGGCATTCGGAACCAAGGATGAAGAACGAGTACGTATGTTGTTAGACGCCCGATGCCACTTCGGAGCATGAGGTGTGAAACCCTGCAAGAAGGGACACATGGTCCCTCCAGAATTCCTCCAACGTAATAGCCGGAAAGACAGTCCCGGTTCGTCCGAGAGGTTCAAAAATGTCGTCGCCGCCGGCAACGTGTTGTTGGACAGAGACGCACCGGCGGCCCGGTCGGCGTACGGTTCTCAACGGTGGCTTCCGAGCCTAGAAAGAGACAGGGGTAAAAGTTGTGTCGTGACTCAGTTTCCATGACCTTGCTTTTGTGCAAGAAGTTGGCCAATGTTGGGTTGATTGTGCCTAGCGGCTCGGCATTGGGATTTACACGTGCACACGTGTGACTGGATTACTCCGGTGATCTGATATTCTTGTCTCTAGCAAAGATGCAATTCATTATCCAAGCGAGTCCGGACTGCCTGCAACGCGCGGCCAAACACATTATCGAGTCTTGTCTTGCCTGGGATCCACCAATGACCGATTTCCTGTGCTGAGCTACATGAAAGATCAGTTTCACGCACGTCGCGGTCGGCTTAGAAGCTACATACCAGCTCCGCACCCACCTCTGGATATTGCTCACACTTACGCCGCAGCACCTCGACCAGTCTCTCAAACGCGATCCCATACCAATCAGTTCTTACTAAGCTGACGAGGGCACAGGATCATGCGCGGCTGACGGTCGCCATGGCAATTTCACTGCGTTCAGCACTGCCCTCAAACTTTAGTGCGAAGAACAGGCTGGCAGCGGTGGGATACTCCTGGCCCCCCTATACATGATGGGGCGGGGGGAGAGGAGCGAGAGATTGGCAAACGGTGATGCCCCGTTCCAAAGGTACGGCAACCCGCTCTGCACCTTGATGGGCGAGCTTGTGTCCTCGATCGTTCTTGCAGGTTCGGGGTTGACTTCTGCTTGACTGGTGAACGCAGTCGCCGTATAAACGAGGGTTTCTGAGAGATACTGCACCCAATCAGAGAGAGAAGAGAGCTGCGCAAGCACGTCTCCCATCTCCACCGGGCGAGGCGCAGGTACCTCCTGTTTCGGGAAAAGATGAGCTGAGACCTGCCAGCGTGGAATACATTTTTCAGTCGGTGGAGCTCAAGGGTGCCGCTGGAGGAGTGATGACGTTTCCGTTCATGTCAAACACCACTGCTGTAAACCACGGCCGGCTGCGAACGGCTGCATCAGCACACGTTGCGTTCGGGTACTTTGACTCACTTATCGAGCCGTTCACATGGGAAGTGGGTTCGAGAGTAGTTGCGTCCATCCATTCGTGAGGTGCAGGCAGCGGATGGGTTGGAGGTTTGATGAAGAGCGCCAGTTCGCGGTTGAGGGTTGGCGCGCAGAAATAACGCAGAGGGAGCATGTTTGTGACTAGGCTCTTGTACTCTGAAAGATGCCGAGTGAAATGACCTTGAGCGTGAAAGAAGTTGAAACAGGTTTTGATTGAGGCGACCGCCAGCAGCGAGAATATGATATTTTGCACTCCTTCAGGAAGGCCAAAAGCCATTGATCTCCATTTTCGTATTCTCTACCAAAGAATACGACATAGCGGGTGTTGACAGTATGATTATCCCTCACGGGGCATCGAAGGCCACGTGACAGCAAAGCGTTCAGCGTGTAACACCGCTGAGCACACCTCATGGCCTTCTGTAATAGTCACCGGAGAACACCGGCGATTGCATTCGTGCACCGGCTGCCGGCCTGCAAGTCCGCACGAGCAGGGCAACAGAAAATCCTGCAAGGAAGCCTGGAGGATGTGCGTATTGCTTCGAAGGTCGGAATCAGCCTGTCGGACAGACTCGAGGTTTGCTTAAAAATTATTCTTCCGATATTACGACGCGACGCCTGCTCCGCCGAGGGGCAGGTCTCTGTCCGACGATCAACGAGGTGAATAAGAAGAGCACATGGGCCAGATAACAAGATACTCCGCGCACGAGGTCCCCGGCAGGGGCGAGCAGCTTTCGGTTGTGGTTGGGTATCCGTCGCCTCTGTGTTTGACAGCTCCGCTTCGGGAAATGATGAGTTGTCCAGCCGGCAGAACGGGTGTTGGTCTACGCGTCTGACAGTCCGGATCCACAAGATGGGTATTTGGGCACGCTAGAAGGCTTGAGGGACAGCGATGACGTCCTATCGATCGGGAAGAATGACTTCGGGAAACTGGTGCGTTCGGAGAATGACGGATATCAAGATCGAAAGCCCTTGATTCATCATTCTTGTTGGATTGTGAAATGAAGTATGGGGGTGGCTTTGATGATAGTCATCAGCAACGTCGTCATACAACCCTGACATACGTACCTTTCATTCCCCTCAGGGAACAAGGGTCTGGAGCATGACGGACATGAGGTACCAGCACGGTGGCACGGATGTCCAATTGGGAATATACGCCGGGTTTCATCTCATCTTCGCGGGCCTGAAGAAGCAGAACCACCACGCTGTAATTCATTCCCCTCCTAATTCGGAGTTCTGTGGCATTGGCCTTCAGTTCGAGTTACCAAATCCGACACTCAGAGAAGGCAGCTAGCCGAACCATTTGAGGAAGGTGTGAGCCAACAGCCTCCATCTCCTTCGGCGACAAGCCGGTAAAACGTCAAAGTGGAAAGGGAAACCTGTCGCCTCCTTCTTTGTTTAGCAAAGAAGTGGAATGAGCGTTGCGTGCGCTGAAAGAGAGCACTGTCAGGCACTAGCGTCCGAACCGGAAAAGGAAGGACTCCGCGGAGCCGGGCTTCCGTTTCCGGACAGGGGAGTGCAAAAACTGAGCGGATGATGTAATCATATTGATGAGGTCACGGTTGTAGTGACGTGATTGATAGCCGGGTTGGTGGCGGATGCCTAGGCATTGTGGCTGCAAGACCACCAGGTGACGCCGTGATATTACGAGCACTAGGCGATGTCGTGCACATGAGACATTATGAGTCAGGTTGACGTTGTGTATAGTACTGGCCACGACACCAAAGTTGAGCAAGTTGTCACGTCCCAAGTGTAAATGAAATGGGTATCACCAGACGTACAGTTTGCTCGGAGTGGACGGAGAGAGCTGTGTGTACTAATCTCGGTGTCCCTATCACGAAATTCCATCACCTTCTGACATCCCAGGGTCCTTCCGATCTTGATCTTTTGTTTCAACATGTTACTGTAATTTCGCTTCGGTCACGCTTGTTGTAGCACTTTCCAGTGGGCCCTCCCTTCCCCATTCACTATCTGAACAGAAGATGTCATAAAATTTACAGCCAGCACGGAACATGCGATAGGCGCTAGTCGCTTTCCCGGGCGCTTCTGGCCGTTTTTTCCGCAGTTGCGACGCGGCACAGCAGCCTGGGGAACACCGCCGCGGTCAGCCCAGTCGTTGTCAGTACAACAGCCAACAAAGACTCATTTGCTGCGCTGTGCAGGGCGGAAGGGGTTTAGCCAATGGGGGGATTGTGTAGGTCGGCTCAGGGCGCGTGGGAAGGACGTTGCGTGACGGATCAGGTAAGGAGGGGCCGAGGCGGCGCGGGTCCCTACATCCCTCGTCACAGATCTAGAAGGCAAGGGGGAGGAGCTAGCGTGCGATGACTCCCAAGCGAGAGAGAAACAGCGCCTGCGGATAGAATAGACACTCACGTGAATGGACCTAGATTACACGTCATATTCCCGCGTGGTTTGAATAGGGGACTCACAGATGTCATTTAATGACTGGAAACGCTCCAGCTTTCTCTCCTTCAGCAGCTCAATCCTCAGACCTTCCACAACAAACAGCGACACCTTTTCACTTACCTTCTCAACATCAGCGAAATCCAACAGAGCAGCACAGCGACAATGTCTGCCCCAAATACGCCCCCCTTCCCTGCAGCACCTGCATATCGGCGTCGTTCCTACGTCCCGCCCTCGATAAGCCCAGCCGTCGTGCCCTCGGCCTGGCAGCCCTCGTCTTCGTCGTATCCCCCGCCCACGCCCATGGCTCCCTTGATGCACACCGTCCCCCTGCCTGCTGAGACTCCCAGGCCCTTCTCGCCTCGCGGCTTGCCATCGCCCGCGCTCACGTCCACGCCCCCTCCCATGGGTGGGATGTTCAGCCCTCGCTCCGCACCTGCCGTGCTCCCTTTCCCAGGGGGTTACCCCTGGCCCCAGGCTCAAGCCCCGGCTGTCCTCCCAACCCCAGCAGCATATGGTCGCGCGCAGCCCGCACCAATCCCCATCCCCATGGGTCGCCGTCCTGCCCATGGGCGCGGCCTGACCCTCGTCCAGCCTAGTCCACCGTGTCACGCCAGCCCGGCCTCCGCCAGTGCTTCCGAGCCGCGCTTTCGCTCCTCGGGTCAGTCATCCCCACTCAGCATCCCCACCGACGTCGACAGGGACAACACGCTCGTTATCCCTTCCTCGCCCACTACCCAGGCAGCGATTCGTCGCTCGCACGCTGCCATCTCCATGGCCCTGAACAGCGCGCATCCGGTCCTGTATGCTGGACGCAGATACCTTACTGCTGAACATCTCCTCGAGGCCATGAAATTCAAGTACCATCCAGAGGCAGCGGAGCAAGTTCGGCGCTCGCAACACCCGCGCAGGACGGCGGAGCAGCTCGGCCAATACGTGCGCCTGGATTGGGAATCACGCAAGGCCGCCAAGGTACAGGAGGTCGTAAGACTCAAGCACTTGCAGAACCCCGAGCTGGTGGAGGAACTGCTCGAGACGGGTAACAGCTGCCTGGTGGACGAGTCCGATCCGCAGATGAACCACCTCGGTGGGGCGTTGATGCGCCTGCGGTGGGAATATCAACCGAGCGGCGCAGACAGCCTGGGATGATTATTGGGCCTGGAGAAGAAGTGTCGACGATACCCAGCTGCCTCTCGGCCCTCAGGGCCAGCCAACGCACTTTCAACAGCATCTGCTACACCAGCAGCGTGCCCCCCGCAAATAGGGACGCCGCCCCACATCGCCATAGGGAACCGCGCAGCGCCTGGAACGACTTTCTGGGCCGGCGCAGGAGCCGGGATGGGATGTAGCATGCGAGCGCCGCGGCACACATGCATGACGGATAGGATAGTTTGTGGCTTGATCTGTCGTGCATCTGTTGATATGTACTAGCTTCATACACGGTAGATATAGACTGCTGCAAATGTCAGCGCATATACCCTAGCTGGTCACTCTCGTACGCACCAAGTAACGCTACGACACCCCAGTCAAGGGGCACGTCTCCTCTTTCTCGTCGTGCCCTCCGCGTCCCCGACACCATTTGCCCGCACCACCGCCTGCTGCCTCAGATGCTCCGGCACTTTCTCCCAATAGATCCTCTCCCTCTCTCCCTCTATCAGCTCGAGCCTGACTGAGCTCGCATCGCCATCTAGCGGTTTTTGGAAATATGCTATCGCTTGCTGTGCCAGGGCAGCAGAGGAGAAACGGATGTAGCACTATTCTCTTCCATCAGAACCCGTGAGAGGCGAAGGGAGGTGAGACGCACGGTATCCATCCCCTTCTGCCAGTCTACATAATCCACACCTCCGGCCTTTCCGTCCTCTAGGGCGGCAGTGAACAGCGCCTTGAGGGCAGTTTTGTTCGTCTGCTGAGGTAGGGAGCGGGCGAAGACCAGGCAGCCCGGTGGGTAGGATGCAGACTGAACTTGATGAAACGGCCGTTTCTTGGGTGGTGCGGTTGGGAGTTGTTTCATATGTGGTGGGGGAGGAGGTTGGCTGGTCATGGATGTTGCGGCAGTGCTGACCGTTGTGGTCGGGCCTGGTTTTGGTCTTGAAAGTTCAAGAAGTCGCCGTTGTTCAGCGAGATAGTCAGCTTTGAGTCTGAGCCAGTGCAACCTTCGAAGTAGTGTTAGATATTGGTGCATGACTCACAGTGTACGCACTTGGACAACGAACGAAGGCCATGTTGCTTGGCGAGCTCAATCATAGGCAGAAGCCCCTTCCTCTTAGTCATTTTGATACCACCCCCTTCTTCATCCTCATCTTCGTCCTCTTCGTCAGCTTCATCGTCCCGCATGAACGGCTTGCGCAGTTCATGCGAAACAACCCATGGCCAACGCTGGACGAACTGGCATGCTAATTCCTCACTTCTGAAGACGACGAAGGCAAACCCGCGGAACCGTTCTTGCTGGCTACGACTGTTAAGGGCCGGGGGAAAGGAGATGTGCTGAATTGCCGGTTCTATCGGGCTAGTGGATGTCGATGGAGGTGTTGCAGCGTCTAGCTCTGCGAGGAGGTCTGACAGCGCCTTGTGTACCCCCGTTAATGTGCGCTCTCTTGCAGGGAGATTCTCCTACAGAAAACGACACGGTCACAACGCACGCCCTAGCCTACTCATTGAACTCACCCACAACATAGACGGTGCTGCTCTCCCAACTCGAGTGCGTACGGTGTTGGAGCTCGTGACGTGGGAAATGGACCTCGTAGCCGTGTTGGCCAATGCGCATCTCCGGCCGAGTATCAGCAGGGAGTTGACGGAGTGCAGATACTATCTGAGCTTCGGTGATGCCGGGCGGTAGGTGGGATAGCAAGGGTGACGATGAGATCAAGGCCTGCAGTCGGACGTCTGTCGCAATCGTCAGCGCTCAGAGAGAAGAATAATAGTTGGACAGACATTCATCTCGGTCTAGAAGTCGTCGAGTCGCAGGTTCAATAAACAAAGAATATGATGATAGTGCCATAGAAAACAGGGCAAGAACATCGTCAGCATTGACAGTAGCCAAACGAGGCGTCTTTGACTGCTTTAGTTGAACGTGAGACGGCGCGGTCGATGTTGAAGCGACGTTGGCGGTGACCACAGACTCAATTGCCTTTGCTTTGCCCTTTACAGACCGTGGGACAAAGGCAAAGGAGGCCATAGATATGACTAAGAGGGCGTCCTCGACGTGTCCAGATGGCTGCTCGTCGTCGTTTGCAGGAGAGCGTGATCAACCGGACGTTCAGGGAACTGTGGCGCGTGAAATACATATCCGACGACGGCAACGTCGACGCTTGCTTGATCATCGACAACGACGACGACGTCAACACTTGCATACCGCATGCCTATATATCCTTTACTATAGACGACATGGACGCCTTCAAAGACCTCTGGGACAACGCCGCCCCTGCTGCTGCTGCTGCCCAAGCTGCAAAGTCCCAATCGCTCAACGCCGCTGCTGCGCAGGCGTCGGCGAGGTCGTACAACAGGCCCGACACGTTTGCTCTGCTCTCCTCTGCGCCCGGAAGCCGCACACTCACTCCATCACTGCCGGCTCAGAGGCCGACGTCGGCCGCTTCTGTTACCAGGCCTGCAAGCGAACCTAGGAATGGGGACGCCTTCAGCAACCTCATGTCCTTTAGCTCATCTGCCGCTGCATCGTCCAACCTCTCTCTCTCGGATAGACAGGCGAAGATGGAGGCTGAAAAGAAAGAGCGAGAGCGACAACAACATGAAGAGTACAAATCTCAAGGTGCATTCTGGGACAAGTTTGGAGGGGACGACCTCCTACAACCCACACCTGTGCCTGCTGCGCCCACGATGAGCACGGCGTCGAGGACGGCAACACCAGCGCTCCAACCCACTCGCCCTTCTCCTATTCCCCAAGCATCCCCCAAGCTCGCGGATACTGCAACGAACGGGTTCGACCTCCTAGACTTCGATTCACTCTCTGCCTCGGCTCCGGTGTCAAAACCTGCTTCTAAGCCTGCTTCGTCCGCTGTTTCCCCGGCCCCTGCTGCCGCGTCTCCGGATCCGTTCGACTTCGCAGCCTTCGAAGGGCCTCCCTCTCGAACTGACTCCCTGCAGGTGCCGCAGGAGGCAGGCAAGAGGTCAAGCACCCCGGGGAGTTTCGATTTCGGGGAGAGAGAGGATAAGCGCTGGGGCGGGGATACAGATGAGGAAGATGATATTCTGGGAGCGCTGAGCAGGCCAGTGGTGGACCGACCTAGAGAAGAACCCGTGCAGACCGCTCCCGTGAGTCGTGTAAAGCGTCTCATCATAACACTCTAAGGATCTTCATATTAGACCCAACCGCCTCGGCCTACCGCCTCATCCACTCCAGGACCCCCACGGCACATTGAGTCCCCGCCGCCTCACATCATTGGTCAGATAGTTGAGATGGGATTTTCCCCAGATCAAGCACGTTTCGCCCTCTCGACCACCACTTCCGGTGTTGACGTTCAAGCAGCTCTGGACCTCCTACTGGCACAGCAGGCTGCACTTGAGTCTGAAGGCGAAACGGAGGAGAGAAGGGTGGACCATACTCCCGAGAGGGTGCTCAGGATCGAGCATGATTCGGACGAAGAAGCGGCTATAGCGGCAGTCTACGAGCAGGAACGCGAAGAAGAGCGTCGCCGCCGGCGCAGACAAGGACCCACACGCCAAACCATGAATTCTTCTCCTCACCCGTTCTCCCCTCGTGGTCCTGGTTCCCCTCATCCCAGAGAGAAAGACTCGACACAGAAGATGCAGGAACAAGCGGATCGACTCATTGCCCAAGCCAGCGACTTCAGCATGAACATGTTCAATAAGGCGAACGCGCTGTGGAAGCAGGGGAAGGAACAAGTCCAGAAGGCGTATGAGGAAAGGAAGGCAGCTCAAGCTTCCGCGGCGGGCGGATCCGGTGGTCCAGGCGGCTCTGGTGGAGGATGGGGAGGAGAAACTGGGGGAAGAGCACGAACCGAGAGCGGCAAACCCAAGTGGGCAGAGGAGTCACGTTGGGAAGAGCCGACGAGTCCGATGAGTCCAGTGCATAGGCATGAAGGCGGGTTTAGGGATGAGGACGACAGCCATCCTTCCCCCCATCGGCACCGCCATCAGCATCATGAGGTTGCACCCCCTGCTCCCAGAGCTGCTGAACCGAACCGGCCAAGGCAGCGCCCTGAGGTCCAACAGGAGAGGAAACCGGAGCCTGCTCCCCGACAAGAACGCCGACAGCCGGCAAAGGAAGCCAACTTGTTCAGCGATGAGCCTATCGGGTACGTCTCTCCTGCTCGTCGACGCCGACCTGCCGAAGTTGCCTCACCCGCACGCCCCACCGTGCCTCCCGAAGCAGCAACCCCTCCTCAACCGAAACCCAGGCCACAGCGGCCTTCGGTTCCGATCACTCCTGCCGCTCGTTCTGCTTCGGACACGAACAAGGCGAAGGGAACAGAGTTTTTCAGACTTGGCCAGTTTGCCGAGGCGGAAGTCGCGTACTCGAAAGCCTTGGATGTGCTCCCTGAGGGGGCTAGTGCGAGGATCTTGGTTCTCAACAACAGGGCTGCGTCGAGACTCAGGACTGGAAACTCGGCAGGTGTGGTGGAAGACTCCGGGGCTGTTCTTACCCTTCTCGTCCTTGACGGAGCGGAATACAACCCAACCAGTGAGGAAGACTGGGAAGGGGTCAAACTCGGTGATGCTCTCGTTAAAGCCCTCACTCGGCGAGCTGAGGCGTGGGAGATGAGCGAGAAGTGGGACAAGGCTGCCGATGACTGGCAGAGGGTGGTCAGTCTGGGGACTTGGATCGGTAAACCAAAATGGGATATCGCCAATCGGGGATTGGATAGATGTAAGCGGATGAAGGGCGGTGGAGAAACGGCCACCGCTCCAGCGGTCTCAAAGCCGAAACCAAAACCAAAGCCAGTTGTGATCGGTGCCCCGGGAAAGCCTTCAGAAGCAGTTACTAGGTTGCAGCAAGCGAACCAGGAGCAAGACGAAGAGGAAAACCTACGAGCACAGCTTAAGGATAGCGTCGATGCTCGCCTCATCGCGTGGAAAGGAGGTAAGGAGACCAACATCCGTGCTCTTATCGCGAGTTTGGACATGGTCCTCTGGGAGGAGCTGGAGTGGAAGAGGGTCAATCTTGGCGAATTGGTCAGCCCCGCACAAGTGAAGGCAAAATATGTGCGAGCGATCGCTAGGCTGCATCCTGACAAGGTGGGATCTGTTCTCTTCTTGTGCCATCATGTGTTGATATTCCCGACAGCTGAGTGCATCGAAAGCAACAGTCGAGCACAAGATGATAGCCAATGGTGTGTTTGGCGCGCTCAATGACGCGTGGAACGCATTTCAGCAGCAAGGATAATTGATTGAGGCCTGTATGGAGACATAGAATTCTGAATGTTTGTATTCAATCAATTACCCACCGTTCAGATGATACCTTGCATATCTGTCCCCTCCGCTTGAAAATATCTGCTGCTCAATATGGCCTTGACGCTGCCTCACCCGGTGAAAGACCCCCAATGTAGGCCATGTGCACGGACATGATCGGTAATGGTACATATACGCATCAAACGATCAATTTGACCTCCTGAGCACGTAAAGAAGCAACACGTCTAAGTAAGCAGGTAGCCGAGAACCGATAAAAGCAAGTGTCGCTCTATCCCAACCAGGGGCCATCCAAGAGCCAGCCTTTTTTGAAATGTCAATCATATAACAGACAAATCGATAGCAGGTATCGCGAACCAGACTACTTGGAGGAGAAAACATGTCGAAGACCAAATCTAGACTGGCAAATGAAGGAAGTCTCACGGGTGGTTGAAGGAGTTGCCAATCCTCGAAAATAAGCACTCGTTAGAAGCAGCAGCCAAACATTGACGTTTTTCATGCTTTGCGCCGACATACAAGCAGAGTATATTGTCCTTGATAAATTATGAAAGAAAGCGGACCTGGCTGTTTATACATGCATATGGTTGTCGTTTCAAAGACGCCGTGATCGAGGAAAACCCCATATAGGGGTCCTAGCATCCGCAACACCCATATTATGTAGGGCTGCACATTGACAACACACATAAAAGATCAACTTGCACCATGGCCACATGTAAACTTCGAAACCCCGTTCCAGACTAAAATCAGTCAGAAAGATGGGCAAACTGTGGCAAAAAATGTGCCTTGCAATCCTGCTAAGCCTCTATATATAGCACCATAGTACGGACGAGGACAGCTTGATTTTGCATAGGGTCTCACAAGGGTCTCATGAGGGTCTGACTCCCCTAAATACTCAGACCCATTGTATGCAGGGTAATTAAATTTAGGTTCAAGCTCCACTTTAATGCTGCACATTATCTTCCGTGGCCTTGTCCCTTAGTGCACATCACTCACTGTGTGTGGAGGGGTCCTTGGCAGAGGCATTTGTAGGTACACCCAGGTGAGTCCCTGACTGCACTTTCCACAGCCTTACCAGGGTTTAATACATGAGGTGTTACCCAGGTCCACCAGGGCTGCTGGGTATTAGTATAGCACACCCTTACCTAGCTGTATTAGAAAAGGTAACCACAATCCATGCTTTGGTCTTCTGGGTAACCATGGTTATTGCATACTCAAGACCACAGTTACTATACTCAAGACCACAGCTATATACTCAAGACCACGTGATCCTTTCTTCATTGCCACCCACCACCACCCATCCCACATCTTCCACATCTTCTTCCTTGCCACATTTCAATGTGACCACATACCTCCAATGTGCTTATATGCATGTTGCTCTACCACCATCATCCAGCTCACCTTCTCTTACCTCCTCTCAACTCACCCACTCCACTCCTACTAATACTTTGACCTTTACTTGACTCTCATGGTTGTTTCACCTCTCAAGATAAAGGCTAGCACAACAGAGCTTTTGAAAGTCTTCACAGACCTCAGTGCTGACCAGCACTTGAAGCTGATGAGGGGACTCAAGCAGCTCAACTATAATGACATGGCAGGGTAAGCATGTCTGGCCTCACCACAACATTTCAGCAACTCACCATCTCACAGGGAAGTTGAAGCCAATTTCCTCCCTTGTGCCGAGTCATGTCAGGAGATCATCAACTCTGTCGTTGAACTCAACATGACGTTGAAGAGATACCACCAGACCATGGATGCTGTGATCAAGCGCTGGAACAAGAACAGCAAGACCATGAGTTCCAACTTTGAACTGGTCAAGGGAGACATGGAGCAGCTGGAGGTGGCCTTCAACTCTGACCTTGAGAGTGTTCATGCCAAACTCTACAAGCTTAGGAGGGAGATGGAGGTAATGCATGAGAAGATGCAGGGGGGGGGTTGAAGAGGATGGAATGGTTACAAGGGCTGGGCATCAGTCATGTTTCAAGTGCATCAGAGACAGCAATGCCATTGTCTCTGATGATGAGCGGCTTGCTCAGAAGGTCAAGACAAGCTTGACTTCTGAGCAGCTGCAGGCCTGTAGCATTGTGCAGGTGCATGACTCATCCACTCATATTGGATCCCTCACTAACCTTCCCTCCAGAAAAAACTCTGTTTGGCTCTGAATGCCATCATCAGTTATGACTCTGAGATGAAGGGCACGCCTGTGCCAGGCAAAAATGGCTTCAAACCCAATGTGCCTGAGGATGGCGAGCCATACGTACTGATCAACTGGGACACACCTGCTTGGAACAAGGGCACAAACAAGGCAATTGTTGACAAGATTGATGATCTTGTCATGAGCAAGCACAAGGTGAGTTTGTTTCATAGTGTTAGGGCAACACAGGCTGACTAAGTCTGCTCACCTAAGAGTGCCAAGAGTCTAAGCAGGCAACAAGGAAGTGGAGTAGACCTGATGACTAAGACCTATCTACAGTATAGGTACCTGTGGATGATCCTAAGAGACCAAGTCTGAAGAGACAGTCCCCAGGCAGAGTAGGCCTTATATTTATACCTCTGTGGTGGAACCTGCTAGAACATCTTGCTTACTCAGCCTAGTCAGGTGATCAGGTCATATGACCAAGGATGAGGTCATATGAGGTCATGCACAGCCATGCACAGCAGGTCACCT